AACTCAATAAAATAATAAAAAAAACAATAATAATTATAACATAATATTTTCAAGTGTTCGTCTTGTAATAAAGCCCCCTAATGTCTGCTCCTTCACTTTCTTTTCATGCCTTTGTTTTACCGGCTGCCGTGGATACATTTCATATTCTCAAAAATTTTAATAACGCTGACTTATGACGGCGAATACAACAACAATGGCGGCGGTTCTTAAACAATCGCCATTAATGAACTTGACAACAAATGGCAATGGCAACCCTGCCACCGGATATCCTTCCGCCGACCAACACACTCACAAAACATAAACACACACACACACACTTGGCCACACAGCGCATATTAATCACATTAAGCGAGTCGCTGGCATCGATCACGTTGGTCTGGGCGCCGGCTACGACGGCATTAATTAGTAAGTAAAAGTCATTTATTTCACTTAAATTCACATTGCTCCTCTCGCCCACCGTAGTCGATATGCATGCACGCTGTCCTCCAGGTGGCTTCCATTCTCTTATTTGCTCCTCCTTTGAGTTTTTTAAGTTATTAATTGATTATATTTAAGGCCGAGGACTTAAAATGGCATATTGCCAGCGGTACGATGGATGTGGATAGACCGTTATTATTATACCGCTCATTACGGACACTTTCTACCATTTCCTTTTCTCTCCCGTGGGGCAATCGCGAACAACTTGTGCAATCTGTTTACGAGATTCTTAAGATAATTTAATGAGCTCTCATCGGGCTAACGGGTGGCGAGCTATAAAAGATTATCAGCACACGGATTGCGATTGCGAACTTATGGTAGTCGTAAAAGGATTGAATGAATGCAATTACTTTGTGGGAATAAAATTTCGAAAGTTGTGATCAAAAAAAGTAATAAACCTTTATCGGATCACCATGAAAATAAACGGACGGAACAGTTGCCACCATTTTTTTGTATCACACCTTTATTTAAATAAAAGGAAATGTTTAATTTGTGTAATTTGTAATGTGAAAAGTATATTCAAGTAGAAAATTGCAACGATATCGGATAAATTAGTTTGTAAACTTTTAAGCTTCCCTTTAAATGGATTCCATTTTAAAAGAGCCATTAAATCTCCCACGAATCAGTACATTTTCTGGCTGCAATTTGATGCAAAGCATTTTTAAAGCATGTCCTCATTAGCAGGACAAAAATGTTCATTACCGCAATGTGTGGACCAGTGGCCGAATGTCCTTTTTCGCCGCTCTCATCGTCATCATCAACATCATTCGTCTTCATTATCGTTGTAATTATTCCCGTGATGCCGGGGAGAATGCATTTGCATAGATTTCCATTTCATTGCATCGTGGACACAATGCCAAAACAAACAAAATGTTGTAGCTGAAATTTTGATAAACCTACCTGTCTCCCCAATCACCATCTCCCTTGGCTGTTTTCGAATTTAATATTTTGAGTACATGGCCAAAAATGAGTATATGAGCATATGAGCGCCATCCAAAAATAACAACAACAAGGACCATAGCAAAAAATAACCATGTAAATCAATTTCCACCGAAATGAACTTCATTTTGCTTTGGTTTTTGGGCAACGCGACCACAGAAATGTTTTCGAGGTATTGGCTTGGGGACCAATAAAAACAAGAAAACAGAAATTTGTATATATGAATATTTATGGGGCAATTGCCTGTGTCCAAAATACGAAACACACACTTACGCGAAACAATAAATAATCTAAAACTCTATGAAATTACTAAATGTCAAATGGTTTTGTTTCCGGTTCGTGTCAAACCACATAGTGGATATTCCACTTTAAAGGCTCGTTGGGCCTCCATGACACCTGCCCATATTTTTTGGGGTTTGTTTATTTAATTAAATTCTCATTACTTCTGCCCAAATATTTGAAATTGATTTTAAGTTTTTGCCATCAAAAGCCGCAAATGAGTGCTTTTAATTTGGCAACACATACAGACGCACGAAAACAAATTCAGCCCATTATTCAAATGGAGTAATTGGAAATGGCAAAAGCTAATCCAAGAGAAAAGGACATAAATTGCTTTGTTCGCCGCAGTTGTTATGGTTTATTTTTCAAAAAGGCTTGAAATATTATATATTGGTCAAACAGGGTGTTGAATAATTTTGAAAGTATATGAGCTTAGGCTTTAATAAAGGTAGCAGGAATATAATTACAGATTAGCTGCCATATGGGATAAATCAATTAAAAAAGAGATTATTTCAAAGATGTATCACCCTATATAATTTATCTTTGTTCACACACTGACCCGCTTTTTTGCTGGTTGTGTCATTTAAATCGTGTTTGGCCTAAACGCCTGCATATAAAACTAAATTATTATTTATTTGTACAAATGCCTGTTCATAAAATATGATTACCGGGCACTTGAGCGTTCGGCCAGCAAAATGTTTATTTATTATTTATTTTCCTTTGTGTGCTATTTATTATTTATTTGTTTTGCTATGTTGCTCGACTCGATGCGACTTAATTACGCTCAGAATTTTGTCCTGCATTCGAGTAATTTTGCCTTGGGCTCTGCCTTTGGTTTGTTCATTCAATTTATTTTGTAAGTTGTGCACGAAAATTAAATTTAATTGTGCGGAGAGGGGTTTTTTGAAATATGTGTTGTAAAATTTACTGTCAAAGAATATATGGCTAATGTCTTACGAACCTGGAATCTGCTTTTTAGTACCCCCAAAGGACTGGAGGATGTATCTTCGTATCCGACTCTGTTTGCTGAACTTCTTGGAGGCGGTTGGACCATCGATGAGCTGACCAAATTAGCAGGCGGGAATTTCTTGAGAGTTATGCAGCAGGTGGAAAAAATGAGGGATGACAAAAAGGCAGCCGGCGTAAAACCCTTCGAAGATCATCCAAATTTCCGCACTGACGATCCCTACAATTGTACATCCAGCTAATTGAGCACTGGATCCAAACACACTGAGGTTGTACCAGAGATGCCGGGGAAGTCCCCAAAATCACACACGAAAATCGATTGAACTCCTGCTTCATATGTATTGTGGATAGCCTATGTAGCAAATCTATAAATATTAATTTGACTAAATGGCAGCATAAACATGTACGATTTAAGCTTTAAATATTTAACTTTAAGATAAATAGATATTTAAATGCCTGATTATTTGGCATTACTTCCTCTTTTCCCCTGGTAATAAAATCGAATTTCGTTTAAATTTTGGTGACAATCTACAGACTGCATCACAAGGTAAAACTTAATTATAACCAGCACAAAGAAATCCACGCAAATTGAAAATTTTAAATATTTTCCATCCCTATTCAATATAAGAACCAGAATTTGTTATCTCATCTCCAACTGGACCAACAAAATCTAATTTCTGTCCCTCTGATGTTTTTTATTATTCCACTTTTGTACACGAAAACTACATATCAAGTATGTAATAAACTTAGATACAAAAAATTATATTAAATTATATAAAAGTATTTTATTTCTTGCATTAAAATTCAATGCAAATACTTGTGAGTGGGGAAGCATACACTTAATAATAAATGAGTAAAATATTTAAATAAATCTTAGGAGAAAAAAAATTAAAAATGAACTACTTTAGTTCCAGCTAAGGGACAACAATTAAATGTTTAGTTATATTTTTAAGCAGTTTAAAGGCGTGCAAACTGAAAGAATGAATAGCGTAATAAATACTAAATTAGCACGTAAGCAAAGTGTGGGCGTGGCACTGCCTGCCACACAATAAATTGTACATAGATTCGAAATGGATTAAGCATAGGAATAATTTATAACTATATAAATGAAGTCATATAAAAGTCACGATTTTCAACATATGCCCCTACACACAAATAGATCAAGTCGCTCTGTCAGTCAGTCTCTCTGTACCTTCTAAACAAAAAGAAAACACAAGAAGAAAAACCTAGAAAAATGCGTCTAGTCTAAGTAAACAAATTATACATACTAAACCAATTATTGCAAGCCGAACTCCAAAACCCAAGACAAATTCAATAATTGTACATTTTTCTAAGCCAAAATCCAATAACAAATAATAAAACTCTCTACAAATATTGTATAATATATATATATGGGTATATATATATGAAAATCTATTGTTACGTTTTATACAATTTTGTATGTGTATATAGCATTTTTACCTATGCTCTCATTCATATGGTCATTATATAGTTTTCTAGCAAACAATTTAAGCGTATTATTGTACTGGGTCTGATGAGCAGAGTTGTTGGTAATCACTTAGTTTTTAGTTCTTAGTCAGGCCTGGAAGGTCGAAAATAAATATCTGTAAAGTTTATACATATACGAATATGCCTAGATATAGAGATTAAACCGAACTAACATGGAAAGACACGCATATATACACAGAAACTCAATTTTCCAAATGTCTTATTATTTACTTGATCTCTTCTTTAGTTTGGAATTAAACAGAAACAAAAACACAATCTCAGACACGCATATGTAAAACCAAATTGTAGTTAAAAACTTGAAAATGGTAAAATGTTTAGCGAATAAAACTCAAAAGGCAAACCAATTGCAGTAAATATAAAAACAATTAAAGAAAATGCTTGTTTTGTTTTAAAAAATGGTGGAGGAATAAAGTGGACCAATATTTTGAATTTAAGCGGTTATTTGAAAAAGCATTAATGTATACTCTAATACCTTTTGTATTTTTGAAGTTTTTTTAAGAGCCGTTATTAATTTAATACGCTTTGAAATTTTGTTGTGTTTTTTGTTAAATTTTTTGTACATGTCTTGTTAATGATATTTTCTTTATTGTAATAGCGCTTTATAAGCAAAAGAAATAACAAATAAACAAATATATTTGCTGTTATTTTACTTTCGCTTTTAGAAAGAAAAAAATAAGTTCTAAAGATAAAATTTTAAATATTTTATACAACATAATTTAAAATACCTCTATGATATACTAAATATATCGCCTACAAATATATCGACGATTAAAGATATCGATATAATACCTGGACCATATGACCTTTGGTGGCGATGGTCACACTATTTCATAAACTTCACAAATAACAAAATTTTGCCTTGGAACTTTTGCATAGACAACTCAAAAATACCACAGCCAGTTGCATGATTGAAGACTTAAGGACTGAGGAGCCCCACTGCCAAATTGAATGGCGTCAGAGGCGCTGGATGGGGATAACCTTCTCCAGTTGCAGCCCGAGGAAAATGGGAAAAATGACGGACAGCTGCTGCCCGACGAAATCCAGCGGTGCACTGGACTAAGTTATAACGATTTTTACTGGCGCTACATGCACAAGAATTTCCCGGTCATTATCACGGACGTCTCCAACGATTGGGAGTGCCAGCAGTGGACAGTGGTCCAGGAAGCCAGGGATCTCAACTCCAATCGCCCCAGTGCATCCTCTTCCATCAACTTTGACTACCTCAAAAACAAGATTACCAATTGCCCGGTTCCAGTCGCCGATTGTAATTCGTCGTACTTCAATAGTCACACCAAACTGGAGCTCAATTTTCACGATTACCTCGAGAGATGGCGAAGTAGCATCGGGAATCAATCATCATCATCATCACCGGAAGTCAATAGTAATGTGGATCCCGCGACCAGGGACAATCTCTACCTCAAGGACTGGCATCTGGCTGCCCAAATGCCGGAGTATAAGTTCTACAAGGTGCCTAAATACTTTGCCTCCGATTGGCTCAACGAACAACTGATGGATCAGAAGAAGGACGACTACAGATTCGTCTACATGGGACCCAAGAACTCATGGTAATGATTCCTTTTTGTGAAACACTGAACAGATTATAAGCTCAGAGCCTGAGCTTTCTCATTTTAAATTAATGTATTACATTAAGTAAACCCTCCGGCATTTCAGGACCTCCTATCATTCGGATGTGTTTGGCTCCTTCAGCTGGTCCACCAACATAGTGGGCCTGAAGAAATGGATTATAATGCCGCCGGGAGAAGAGCTCAAGCTGAACGATCGCTTGGGTAACCCGCCCTTCAGCATAGACGAGCAAATGCTGGATGAGCACAATGTGCGATATTACACCATCGATCAGCGGGCCAATGAGGCAGTTTTCGTGCCCAGTGGTTGGTTCCATCAGGTGTGGAACCTGACGGACACCATATCCGTCAATCACAACTGGTTCAATGCCTGCAACATATCTATGGTGTGGCAGAACCTCAGGCACAACCTGAAGGCCGTATGCCGAGAGATCTCCGACTGCCAGCAGATGGATGATTTCGAGGCCCACTGCCAGACAATGCTGAGGGCCAGCTTTGGCATCAACTACCTCGATTTTATAGAGCTCCTCGAGTTCATTGCCGCTCGCCGATTGGCCGAGGAAACCGCAGCCACCAAGTTTTTACTGTTCGATAGCTATAGAATGAATGATTATCATGTGCAATACGATCTCGAATGCTTGAGGAGGATCACGAGGACACTGTCGGAGGATCCGACAATCCAGCGTAGTCCCCTTCAGTTGGAGGGTCGCTGCCGGCAGTTGCTCGCCCGATTAGAGTTTTAGTCATAGCACATGGAAAAGGCCTTGGCATATTTTTATACCAAACTTGTATTCATATACAACCGATAGTCGTAATATTTTAATACAGATATTTAAACACCCATTACTCGCCGTCGGGCCAGGTGAATTCTCCATGGATGGGTTCCGTTCTCAGCCACTCGCACTGGTCGATGACTCGGAAACCGAGTTTACTGAACATTTCCTGGGATGGCGTATTCGTGGGACCCACGAGGGCCATTACATCGTGCCCTTGGGCTGCCAGGCGGTATGAAATTTCCCTGGTCACCACACTTCCAAATCCGCGACGTTTGTGGGACGTTTTCACCTGCAGGGCTCCCAAGTAGCCGCCTTGTAATCTGGGAAATTTGTATTTTAAAATTATTTATTTAGATTTATATATGAGTGACCAACCTGATGCACCAGGCCACAAGTTCCTGAGTATCTTCCCGATACAATCCCACACTGATGCACATGCGAATCTGTCTTTCTATAAAGAACAGAGATCCCAAATGATGATTGGGCCACTCCTCATTTACCAGAGGAGCATCTGCCACACTCAAAGATCTCAAGACAAATCCAGCAGGGGATCTAGATAAGATAGGCAGTATCTTAATGATTCTTTAAATTATGGAAGAAATGCTACTTACTCAACCCTCAGCTGAAGAGCATCCTCGGCCTTCATATAAAACAAATCGGTGGGGCTCCTGAACACCAATTTTAGCGCTTTGGACTCGATAACACTATTTAAGGCCTCAATATGTCTGTAGGGTATGGAACTGCATTTCAAACCCGTTGACCAGTCCACCAAGTCCAGAGCTTTTTGTACAAGACCATTTGTGTTGTTCAAACCGCCCACAAACAGTTGATAGCGATCCTAAGAGATAGATATGTATATAGCCTCTCTTAATGGTTTGCTAACTCATAGATTGTGCAATGCAAACAGAACTCACCACTATCACGAAAAGGCCCTCATCTCTGGCTTGTTTTGTATCCAAAGTATAGGCTTTCAAATGCTTCACGTGGGGTTGCTTTTTCAGAAACTCTATAAAGTTATCCAGGCAGTAGTATTCCTGACAATATTCGGGCCAGTTTTGTTTGAAGAGGACTTGGAACTCCTGGAGATCTGGCAATCCAATCTCTTTCAATTGAGTGCACATTTTAGTCGTCAGAAATAGAACAACTTTTCCAAGCAAGAAACCGAAACAAAATGGATTAGATTGTTAGGTTTGGGTGATTAAATCATGCAGCTCGTCAAACGGCTTCTACATTTCTCTTTAAAGAACTCTCTTGTTAGACTCTCTTTTATTGTTATGTTTATTTGTTTATTTCTCTTAGGTCTAACTCGCATTTATTTATTTATTTCCCTTAGGTCTAACCCGTGCATAAACAATCTCTATATCTTATCGTTCTCTTATTGGCGCTTCGGTTAAAAGCCAATTACACTGATTGATAATCTTGAAGCCCAATTTCTGGAACAGACTCAACGACGCCTTGTTTTCTGGAACGACTTCGGTGATAATGTCATGTCCCTGAAGAGCCTCCAGTCTGGAGAACTCTTTCACAATTAGAGCGCCGAAACCTCTGCGTTGGTAGAAGTTTTTGACCTGCAGCACTGCCAACAAACCATCCTGAGCTCTATGGAAAAGGGATAGTTGAGAATCTAGTTTGCACAGGACCCTTCGATATATTCACCTTATACACCAGGCCACTAGCTCATTGTCTTCGTCCTTGTACAAGCCCACACTGGTGTTGCACAAAATCTGACGTTGGATGAAGGAAAGAGTGCCCGGCTCACTCCACTCCCAGTGATCATCAACCACCTTGGCGTCCTCCACATCTAGAGATTTTAAGGAAAATCCAACTGGCGGTCTAGCAAAAAAAAAAAAATATTTAATAAGTTGGGAAACACATCACTGCGACGTTAAGTAAACTCACTCCACTTGAAACTGCAGGGCATCTTCGTTGCTCAAGACCAAGGAATAGGTGGCACAATCTATGTCTAATTTAAGATTTTTGGCATAAATAACATCCATGGCAGCTTTAAAATATCTCTTTGGCATGGAGGCGAACTGTTCTCCTCCCAAGAAGTCCAACTGAAGTAAGGCTTCCCTCAGAAGACTTTCCGATCTTTCAGCCTCCAAAAAGCCCACTGAAATTTGATTCCGATCCTTCACGATGCACATAACAAATAAGTAAATCAAAATATGGCACTCAAATTAAGGAATACCGCCCTACCACAATCACAAATAGTCCGAGTTCAAGTTTGGGAAGAGCGTAAACTTTTACATTCTCCAGATGGGGATCCCTTCTGAGAAGGTCCACAAAATTATCCAGGCAGGTGTATTCCTTGCAGTATTTTGGCCAGTCTCGGGTGTAAACACTTTTGAGGTCCTCCATCTGCTGGACACCGACTTGCTGTAGACGATCCATCTTAGAAAATGCTCCCTAGTAAGCGGACAGTAGACCAATTTATACACAAAAAAGTTTATCTTCCTTAGATAGAATTGCATTTTATAGGTGTTTTTACAGTTCAGCGTTTGTACATATTTCTTAATCTCTGTTTGCTGTCTGGGCCTATTCATTGTTGGGCCAAGATATCTGATCTCCGTGCCTCGGCTTGATCATGCTCCAGTAATATTGCTTCTCCCGGATCAATTTGAAATCCAGTTTCTCGAACACGCGACAAGCAGCAGTATTGTTCACATTGACCAGGGCCGTTATGTCATGCTGGAGATCGGTGGCAATAGCTTTGGAAATGGCGGAAGCAACTACTAACCCCAAACCGCGACGTTGATGCGTTACGATCACTTCCAATGCTCCCAGAAATCCGCTTTGGAGTCTTCAAACAAATATATAAGCAATTTTGTAAATCATTTTTAAAAGACTAATAAATTGCGTACCTTAAACACCAGGCGCACAACAAACCCGATTCCCTCTCATATAGACCCACATTGGTATTATTAGTGATTAGCATTTGAATGAGTTTAAGGGAACCAGGATGACGGGCTGACCATAGATCGTTTATAAGCTCTGCATGTTCCAAACGCACTTTATCCACGTAGTAGCCCTCCGGGCAACTAATCTCCAGTTTCCTAGCCTCCCGGCAGTTCAAACTATACATTGTGGTAGGCATTTCGCGGTACATGGTAAGATTAAGTTCCGCAACGAGCTCCTTGTAGATTTTATGGTGATTCTCTTGAATGGCACTGACTTTGAAGCCTCCCGACCAATCCAATAATTTCAAAGCATCTTTCAAATCGGATTTTTGTTTACTTAAGTTACTGAAGAACAATTGATAGCGATGCTGAAAATGGGAAACAATAATAAAATAAACCAATTACATTTCCAGATCAATTCTGTTTACCACCAATATAAATAATCCATCACTTTGCCAATCGTTATTCAAAGTATAGAAGGTAAGGTGACTTAAGCTCGGATTTTTCTGCAACCATCTCAAATAATTATCCAGCCAGAAGTAGGCGACACAGTTACTGGGCCAATCCTTGAGATACAGCTCCTGCAGATCCTTCAGATCGTCAATATCTGTGATTTCCGTCAGCTGTTTCACTGTTGCCATGCCGGGGAGAAATACTGAACTGTGTTATTGTTATTGTTATTGTTGACGTCAATTACGTTTAAGAGAGAGGGCTTTTAAGCTTTTTTGATAAGCCTTAAGAAATATTGTATACCCTTGTGAAGGCATTTTAGTTTTATAGCACAGTTTGTAACGCGATAAAGTTCAATACATACACTTTTTATGGCTATGTTTTTAGAAAATACATTTGATTAATTAAAAGTCTCTTAGTATGAGACTTTCACTTTTGTCTTTTTAAAGTTTCCTATTTTGAATTAGTATTTTACAATTTTATACATTAAATTTTTATAATCGCACATATTGTATTATATTATATTATATACATATGTTATTATATTCTTTAACTTTTGCCAACATTCCCGAAAATTAAACGGTCACTAATTAAATAGGTTAAATGAAGTAAGACAAAGTTTTGCGTCTGCGGCTTAAAAAATTAATTTTTAACTTTTACTGCTTTTTGCTTAAATTACTTCCTGTATGGCTACAGACACCAAAACGTGCGTGCAGTGCACTTCTATTATATTCATATTGGGTTGAGTCCGTGCTACATTTGGTAACTTTAATTTATCCAATTTCACCACCCGGTTCGAGACACAGCTTGTTTAGTAAAGTTCTCCACCCGCTGGGATTCTTACTTCTGTTTATATTTAGTGAATTTTGCAGGGGTCGCAGTATGTTTCTTCAGTCCGTCGGCAGTCACACTGAAGAAACGGAACGAAGCGGACACGGATACTTTTCGGGGAAGAGATACTTCTTCGTATTCGTGCGTGGTTTCGTCGAGAGAAATTGCACAAATTGCAATTGCAAACGGAATTGCAAACGATAGAGCGGAAAATCCGTTGAGTGCCATCGCAGATCGAAAAGTGCAATTAGTGTGCGAGTTGTGTGTGTGTGTGTGTGTGGTAGTGTCACCTCAATCAAAAAAAATAAAGAAAAGAGATAACGAAAAAGTGAAAAATACTGTGGAATCCAAACTAAATTATGCTTAAACTACGGTTTAACCAAATTGCCAACTAGCCAAAAGTAACCAGCACACCGAAAACAGCCAAAAGCAGCAAATCAAACGAGAGGTAAATAATTGCCAGGGGTAAAAACAAATACTGAATTATTTGGGGCCCAGTTTTATCACTTTCTGGTAATTGGAATTCCCTGGAATCGCTTTGTGTGTTAGCATAAATTACAAAGAAAAACAGTTGACGTTGGCGATACATATTCGCAAATGCCATTGATACATAGTAGATCCATTGGGGAAAGGAGAGGCATATTATTCCGAGAACTGGTAATAAGGGGAATATACATATATATATATTTTTTCATTATATGTATTTATTTGTCCGTTGGTTGGCTTGCTCCTCTGTGAGCTGTGTGAGCCCAAAAGAGCGATACGAAATTCCCAGAAACGCATTTTCTAATTTAGACCGATTTCTGAGAAGTGACAGACAGCCCAAGCGAACCAGCAGATACAGAGATACTCGTACTCACAGATACACAAACTCACACACACACTCACACGGGCGAGTGGTTCGTGAGCGTATGTGTGTGTGTGTTTGATGATGTTGGCAGCTGCCGTTGTTGTTGTTGTTGTTGTTGTTGCCTTTGTTGGCGGTTCGGGCTATTGAATGAAAAATGCTGCTGCAAACATTTAACACCGCAAGCCAAGCTGAAGCTGGCCCTCACACAGGCTCAAGCACACAGCCACAGATACATTTACAGATGCGAGCGCACGAGCAGATGCGGATACAGTGGAGCCTCGCCTTAGTCAGTCAGTCGCTCATAGCAAAAACAACTACCATCGGGGTCACATTCCACTCTGTGTTTTCCCACGACAAACATAACCATATCAAATATCACTGATAACATGAGCTGCCCATACTGGTATTTATTAACCCTTGTCGGGCCTTTATGGCCGAATTCTTAAAAGCAACGAAAAATTAAAAACAATATAAAAATTAATGATATAAATTGTATTTAATTATTTTTTAAATATTATTTAAAGAAATCATTTTCTATTTTTCGGGGATAAATATAATAGGTTTCAACTAAATTATCGAGATAGACGATTTAATATTTATTTTAGACATTGGTGACAATCGTAACTTAAAATAATGCTTAGAAGATAAATTATGGCTATGCTCTGAAAGCGTTAACCTATAATATAGTTCTTCCTTCCTCGCCGAGTCCTCACTGTACTTGCACTGCTCTCTTAGCCGCACCAATACCAATGTCGAGACCCGGTTGCTGCTGTTATAGCCGTATAGTTGTTGTTGTTGGGCCCCTGTTGTTGGCCATGGCTTCTTGCTAAAGGTGTATAAATGTAAAGGTGTAGCCGCTGAATTCGGCCGAAGCCGTACAACAACAAAGGCGATGGGAAGGGGTATAGGCAGGGGTAGAGGAACTTGGGAACATCGGCGTTGTACCCTTCATAAGAAAAAGGTGTTATTAACTTCGTTTGTAATGCGTCAAATTGTTGTTGCCGCTTCTCTGTGTTCCTCGTTCCTCTTTCTCTGTGTGTGCACTTTTTTGATTATTCCTGGTAAAAGAAAAAAACCGCTTTTACCATCTTCTTCCGCTCATTTCCTTGAATTTTCGTATTAAACTTGAGAGCGTTTTCAATTTTTTTTAATAGCTTTTCATGTGAAATGGTTTCGAACACAGGATAAGTGCAGTGTGGAAGCGAGACAGCTGCTGCCCAGCTGCCCGCTAAGAGAGAACGAGAGCGAGCGAGAAAGCGATCTTGCAAAATGCCAAATTGTCTGCCCAGCAACAATGCCGACTCTACCTCTCACTCACACACCTAATCATAGGTAGACTATTGCCCTCCTGCTTCCTCACCTCCACCCCCCCACTGCGCTCATTCATCCCATTGTTATTTGTTTTTCTTTATTTTTCGATGGGATTTTTCGTTGGAAATTTGATTTTGTTCGTTTATTGTTAATTGTTCGCGTGAATTTGTTCAATTGAAACGCAATGCCAAAAGTGAAATGTGGGCAAAACACTCAATTCGGAGTGTGTGTGAGTGGATCTCGAGTGGGTTCACAAAGGGATTCGAGTGTGGGGGTTGTTTCAAATATAGAGATGTTTTATAGAGAACTGCTATTAACGGAAAAACACAAACACACATTTCTCTATATACAGTTAAAAAGCCACAAAAGTGCTGCCATAAGTTACAACTCATGCACAACGGATTCCCCAGAAATTCCCTCCATACTCAATCAGGGTTAAAATAAATACAATCACAACGCGCTAATTTCTGTAGTATATTTTCCACAATTAACTATATATTCGTTTTAAACCAATTATATGGAAACTACTGAAATCTTATTGTGATTCAGAAAAACCTGAAGGTATTTCCGCTACAAGTTATGAAGATATTTTTGTGTAATTATTATAGGTTTTATAAAATATTAATATTATGTCATTAAGACATTTATTTTCTAAAGTCCTAGAACTCTTTAAAATCATAATAATGTCATAGTTATTTTTAAAATCAAGGTACAATAATTATGTCCACTAAAAAAGGTTTTTAAATTTTAAAAGCATGAAGGCATCTACTGTGAACTTTAACTCATGGCATTTCCAAAGTAAGACCATTTCAAAGTACTATTAATAAAGATGAAACACAAATACTGTTTATATGAAAAGCAACTTACATATGTCGAAAACCAGTTCAAGTATGGCTTATGTAAATTTTCTATTTGTGCCAGCGTTTCGAAATCCGAAAATCCCTGGGCGTTCACATACATAAGCAGTTTGTTTGTTATGACCAATAATAATATCTCTCAACTTGACTTGACCTTACCCCTCACTTGTTCCACCATGGAACTTTATCGTTATCTCAGCCTTGCCACCCCCTTTCCACCTGCGCGATTTACCCCACCGCCCCATGGTTACCTACATATCTACTTTTCGCTGGAAAAGCCAACGAAATGCTTTTGATTGTTCTTAGAATTTCGTTTCGTTTCAACTTTCTGTTGATAAGCGAGTGTGTTTGTGAGTGGGCCAACACAGCGGGGGGAGGCGGGCGGTGGGTGGTGGTTGTCTAATGTTGATTTTGCGCTTCGTAGTAATTTATCAATGAATTTTTATAGGGGCTTGTGTAATCTCTTCGAGATTGTTTGCCTGCATACGTATTCGCAAAGGTCGCTTTAGTTCTTTTCCTATCTGATTCCGTAATCGCTATATTTAAAACTATTTAATCAATCACGTTTACGATCCATTGTTAGCGGCCGTGTCGGTGAATAAAATGCCAGGTTTCTTGCCCATTGGCGTTCAGTTAAGAGGCTAAAAACAGGTAAAAAACTGAATACTTTAATAAAAACTGATTGTTGGAGAATAGTGAAAGAAATGCAGTCACGCTTCTGTCGATAAACCTACCTCAATAATGATTTCTGAAAGTGAAGAAAAAGTGAATGGGCGTACGATAAAAACAAACAAATACAGAGTGTCTTATGTATTAAAATCAGCATTACCCGGAATTTTAGGTACAGATTTGGTAGGAAACTTAACTTACGTCCTATAGAAAAATATTTAGGAAGCTTAAGAATATAACTATAATTTATGGATCAATAAACACCACTTCCGAATAAACTTTGTGTTGGGTTCAAAACCCTTAACTCAAGTTATTCATGATTTCAGCGTATCCACGAGTAACCTTATCTTTCTGTGAATTATCATTCAAGATAATACGGTTATAAGATATCAAAAAACTACCAAAACAAATCTCGCACACTCCCCAAATTCATAGTTCGTGTTCTGTTATCGTTCCGTAACAAAAGTTCTGTGGAGCTCATGGTCATAATTTCAGCTCTGCCCCAAACAAAAGGCAACAAAAGTATCTAGGGAGACCATCTCTTTTTTGGCCAAAGTAGAACAGAACAGAAAAGAACAGAAGAGAAGAGAAGAGACTACAAAAACAATTCGGGCCTAACCCGGACCTGGAGCAAATTAAGTTGAAATTCTGTTAGTGCTTTCGTTTAATCAGAAAACAGCACACAGACACACCACAACTGAACTCCATGACTTCACCAGCATGTGAGTACCGTGTGCATATTTTCCACGAATTTTTCCTCCAGTGTGTGCGTGTGTGCGAGTGTGTGGTGCTATGGATTTATCATGAGGCTCTCCATTCGCTGTGTGCGAATTTCCTAGAAATTGCCTCTTTTCACATTAAATGTTAATATTATTATTTTCGTTATTATCGTTTTCGGGCCTAGATAATCAACACCTCTCCTTGTCCCCCGTGCCCACTTCCTTTTGATAACCAAAAAGAGAGGCGAGATAACAATTTCGAGCGTAGAACGTAATATAAACAAAATGATTCCTACGTCAATGGAGGAGATACTATAAGTATGTACACCTCTCTTGTCCATTTAAGACCGAAACCCCGAAAACCCCGACGAACATAATCAGTCACGAAGTTAGCCCGTATACACTACGTTTAGCTCGTGCTAATTAGAGTTCCATACAAGTTTGAATGCCGAATCGCCATGATGCGAAGCGTTTGTTTGTTTATCATTTTTCTCCCGTAGCGCAATGAATGCGCCAAATTACGAACCCGAGAGCCCCAAGCAAAATAAATAAATCTCATTTCAATTTTCCTGCGAAAAAATATATCAAAATGAAATACACTTTCTCAGGATCCCCCATGCCCAGTTTCTTTGGCACTTTACTGCCCCGCTTTGCATGTGATTTTATTTTCAAGCGAACTTCATTTGCGAATTCCCAGTAAATGCAAAACAAAATGGAAAAAAAAACCAAAAAAAAAAAAAATAAGAAGCGATGTCGGCAGCAACAAAAAGTAATTGAATTCGCTTTAAAATCCTACGTCTCGACCCCGCCACTCCCCCTTTGGATTTTTCGCTTCTGAGTCGCTGGCTTTTCATTGTTGTTGTCGACTTTTGTTGAGGTTTCTTCTCATCGGGAGTTTCTTTGACTTGGCAACGGAGTTTATCGAAATTCTCACAAATTTTGCAATACAATAAAATATTTTTTTGGGAAGTTTATGACAACTTCGTGACCATATTGTTAACATGAACGGCGTTCATTCATTAAAAATAAAAATGTCGTCGTCATTAAAAATTTTTAATCTCTTCTGTTTTTGTTATAGAAACTATATAATAAGCATGTTTTAATAAACAAAAATTAAAGTAAAAAATAATCATACAAAATTATTTCTTAAACATACGTTCATTACAACATTACTGTTTTAAGAAGTATCTACAGTCAGTTTTCGTTGACTTTAATATCGCAGCGAAATTACAGACATTGGATAGTGTATTTAAATGTCCGCTTTACTTTTTACTTGTGCTCCTTTGCTTGGTTGGTTTTTATTTTTTGCACTAGCCCACATTGCGTCCCCCATTCGCCCCGTTGACCGCAATTCGGGCTGCTCTTTGCTGCCGCTGCTTGTGCTGCTTTGTTGTGACAATTTCTGCGTAAAACATACTACGTACAGTGGGGCAGCCAGCTAAGCCATGACTAAGTTGTTGGCCAAGTTGCTGGGAAGGTTACAAAAAGGCATTTCGAGTGCCGGTCTCCAATGGTTTTTTAATAACGGGCCTTGACGGGGCGCGGTCCATGTAAAAAAATTATTCACTTACAGGTAATAAGATTGGATTGGGATTGTTTGGGTTTAGAGAAAAAAAATCCAGCTTCGAGCTTTAAATTGGCAATGCTTGTATGAGCTCATTATTGTAACACAACCCCTCTTCTTGGAATTAATTAAAAAAAAATTTTTAAGGCTGTGAACCTTCTGGGATTTTTTTGAAAATGTGATTCCCTTGTTTCTGTTTTAAATAGATTTCCACTACAACATGAAATATTAATTCAAATGTGTCTTTATCATGGCTTAACGAAACTTATATGGATTAAATTAAGTAAATTAAGTTTGTCTATTTTAAGACACACGATTTGCATACAAACTTATAATAAATGCAAATAAAATTCACTTTTCTTGCTCCACATTTGTGTATCTTTGTAAATTCTGCATATTTGGTTTTAGAGGTGAATCCCCCATTCATAAGCCAGCCGGAGTCCCTTGTCCCTTATTAGCCATTCAAACCACTCCGTGTTGTTGGCTTTCTTTCTCCCAACCGTCTCCACTCGGCCACATTTATCAACATTTTTACCCCGAACAAGTTATGTATTAGATCATTATCCGCATTTGGATTTCTGATGAAATTTCGCATTGTCTGCAGCGCCGCAGAAAAACTTCAGCTGCTCGTCGTTGGTTCCGCGTGGCAACCAAACCAAACAAAACCAAAGCGAACCGAACCGAACCGAGTAAAATAACAATAAAAGTAAAGAGCGCAGAGCGAAAGAAAAGTTCAGCTTGACGAGCCCTCGAAATGCTCTGGCGATAAAATGCACGAGTTTGTGTGTAGTTTACCCGGAGTTTCGGTCCCTCAGACAGCCTGCTGCTACTCATTGTCTGAGTGACTCATGGAACGCCTTGTCCTACCTACGGATACTCCTGGTGCACTGAGCGAAAGCAGGGATTCTTAAATCTTTGCATTTATTTTAATACATTTTTAACTAGTTTAAAAGGGAAGCGATTTAAATCATATTTATTTTTAAGAATTTGATTCTCTTTTTTAATGTCCATAGTCTTATAATTACCAATTTAATATTTTTATAATTTGCAATAATAATATTTATATTATTATTCAATTTTAGTATTTATTTAATCTTAACATACATTATTATTTTTATACATTTTTTTTCCAGAAATAACCCTTATTGCTTATGATTTTAATATTAAACTCTCGTTTTTGTCAGTGTACCAGTCCTGGCGGATCCAGTCCCGAGTTCGGTTTATCTGCCGTTTCAGTTTTGTATTTCCATTGAAAAATGTTGTTAGCTGGCAGCCGTCGTCTCATGCGGGTCTCTTGGAATCTGAAGTTGAATCTTGAGTTCAAGTCACTCTTTTTGTATTTCATCATAGTCGTAAATATACAGCAAAGGTTGCGGAGCCTCTGAGTCTCTCGGTTAGGGGAAAAGCAATAATTATCTGCGGTTAAATGCGAACGATCATGTCATACGTTAGCCAGAATGTATTGATTACTCACCCGATTGAATCGTACGATTTGAGTGCGATAAATTGCCTGCAGCACGTGCGGCACGGAGTCGTGCATGAAAATGAAAATAAAAAAAATGAAAAAATGGCTAAAGTATCTGTATCTATAAGTGTGTGCAAATTACCGTTAGACCAGGCCAACGGTGAATACAAATTGAATGTCTGCGGGGCCTTATTATCCATCGGACACACTATAATTTGAGCGACAGTGCCCCCACACATATCGTTTTCCAGCTAAAACACTTAATTCATAATGTTTTCGATTCTCGTTAAAAAGCTGCAATTTTTGACTGTTTACCGTGTTTGTGGGTCGCATTTCCGGGAAGTAACTTTAATATTTTCCCTACCATTTTTGGTTAACAAGTTGAGAGTTTGAGTTTCAGTTGTGAAAACATATGCACTGTTAATTGCTTGAATTGTTCGACGAGGTTTTCTATTTGATTAGGCCCAAACATACCCATATACGACTGCGACTCGTTAGGTTATTAACACAAGGAAATTCCGGGGAAATCGTTCAGGGCTGATAGCGGAGGTCGAACACTCGCCGATAATAGCTGAAGACCGCCCCTCTTCCCTTCGAGAAAATGATAAACGTCCGACCGCAATCATTGTTCCAGCGAATTTTCCATGCCCACCCCAATTCGAATCTATATGGGCTGTAGAGTTCTGCAAAATTTACTATGGCATTTGCCGCAGGATTCCCAGAACTGATAAAACATTATTTCCGTTTAAGCCTGGGCTTCGATGTACTCGTTGATTACATTTCGCGGCCTTGTTCTTGGTAATTTTAATTAATCGCCCCGATAAACAATCTCGATTAAGTTCATATTAACTGAGCGATCTTAATCGTTAGTGCGAACACTGAATTTATGGTGAAAATAAGGCATTGTTTTATAGGGAAGCGCTGTACTTTATTATATTTTAAACGGAAGCCGACAAGATTTTAGGCAATTGATTGTTTCTAATAAATGCTAAATAATAATTCCTCGAATTTGCTTATGAACGTTACATTATCAATGTACTAGTCTTTGTGCGTTGACTTTAATAAAGTTAAAGCTGAGTTCCGAAAACCGAAATTCCGAGAATCGTTTTTGTTAAACTGAAAGTAAAAAATGTCAAGTTTAATTATGAATTTATTTAAATTATGTACATGGTTCAAAGAAACACTAATATAATTTGTTGTTAATTTTCCAGAATTGACTCTAACGTTTTCATTTCAAGCTTATATTTAATTAATTGAACTAACTGACCTCGAGTTAAAAAATATTCTGTACAAAATGCCTTTGAAATGTCAAAACTGTCGAGTTTTTGTTAATTTATTGTGTTGAAGGAACTCGTAGAATCCCCAAAGAAATTGTATTTTTAAGAATTCTCTTGGGGGAAATAAATATTTTGAATAATAATCTTAAGTCATGTTCAAAGTTATCCCGAAAGGGCAGGAAGTGAAAACTCAGTTAATTACTGGAATCATTGTTTCCCAACAAAATGACGGATCACTATCGATCAATCAGAGGCTTTATTAGCCAATCGGTGATCTAATTATTTCGCCATTGTATGAAAAAGCCACATGCAGTGCAAAATTCAATTAAAAGACCGCAGTGATAGTCATAGCTTTTGTACCACTTTTGTCGCCAACTTCGGGTGACTACCAAGAATTTCAACCACTGACAATTGGGTGAGTCAGTCTATAGAGCTTTCCACCTGTCTGAATTGTACCTTGGCTCCTTCTTATATGGCCCTGTTTCGGAAGTAAATGACGCATCTCGATGATGTGGGCGCGATAAGGATTTGTCAGTGTGGAGTTAAGTTACTCAGCATAAAAACCAGAAGAGATGACGTGCCTACGAATTACATCGAATTTATCAGTGAATAATGGTAGATTTTCCGCGAATGAGGACTTACTTTACTGTGCTGGCGTCGCTAAAACAGTGTGGTTTCCGTTTTTCGAACAACCCATATAGATAGATAACCCATAGCAGCAGCACTACGTGCATGGCATGGTGTGTACGTGTGTACTTGCCTCTCCACTTTGATTTCATCAGCTCTCCATGGGCGAGTCGCTAAAAATAGGATGAGGATGAGTCCATTACAATTTGGTGTGTATTCGCTCGTACTTACGTACTTGCGCTCTTCTGGGGGCAAAATGATGCGTGGGATTGGAATGCCATTGTTTATCGTCCCCATCTCCATGATGTGATAGATATAGATCCCTCGATCCCTTGATCCCTCGGCGGATGAGTCAGTTCGTGGGGGAGTTATCCATATATCCATCTCCCAGAAGATCAGCGGGGGGGAACTCCATTAATCAGAAGCACTAGACATTGTGGCGTTTAATTGCCCATTTGACCGGCGAACGAGTCCCTTTGCCACTGGAACTTCTCCGTCTAAGTGGCTAATTAATGCACTGGTGAATGGTTAATTGTTGATGGTTAATGGTGAAGCCCCCACCAAGTGGCTCTTTGCTGTAGGTCAAGACATTTCACACGCCGCCAAACTCGTTTTATTCCATTCCAGGCTATTTCTGGATGTTGCGAAATGCCCGGAACTCAAATATTGAAAACGAAACATGCTAACTAAGATAGTCAATAATTAACTTTAAATTAACGAGTTAAACAAGGGTTGACTTTTAAAAAATAATTCTATGCTTAAGTAATCAGGAATTATTGCAGACAATTTTTAGAGGTTGACATCAAATATTTAGCCAATATGTTAACTAAGTATTGGTTCACTGTGAATTCCCAGTACATTTGTAACAAATTGTTTGCATGCTACTTTACCAATGACATTAATCAATATACAATAGATAGATTCAAGAACTGTGTGTTTTTATTGGTAAATTATATTATTTAAATTCTTTAGGCTGTTTTTTTCAAAAAAATACATTTTAAAGAGAATAGTTTAAATTTTCTAAAAATATGTAATTCCTAACGTCATATCTCTATTTCTTTGCCATTGCAGTAAATAAAACGCAGTAAAAACCCAGCCCACCAAGGACTCTTGCCCACTTAGAGCTTCCAATGGGTCATCACCTCAGCAAGCCCACTGTACGCGCCAATAGCCAGGACAAGAGCGATCTGCCCACCAGTGCCAGCCCGAGGGAGACATCCGCAGCCACAGTAGAGGCAATTGGTCTGGACGAGGAGGAGCTGCAGGTGGAAGAGATCCTCACGGAGGCCACATCGCCGGCGGAAGTGCGTCAGATCATAATTAAAATTCAGCTGGCCAAAATGGAGAACGGCAATGGTCAGGTGGAGGATCAACTGCTGGAGGAGGAGCAGGTGGAGGGGGCCGCCGTCGCCGTCGCCTCGTTGTCTGCGGACACGTTAAATGCAAATGGCCAGATTGTAAATGTGACGCTGGAGGGCGGACATGGGGAAGTGGGCGTGGTGACGAATCGAACTGCGGGCAGTTCAACGGAAGCGCCAAAAATCGCAGAAAGACAGCCAGTGAATAACAACAATTTAGCGGGAAGCGTCGGCGATGCCATAAGTACGTTACAATTGCACGACGGCAACAGCAATAGCAATAGCAACAACAGCAGCAACATCAGGCCCAGCAGCAACACCAACTACCCCTTGGACGAAGACGACGGCGACGACGACGACGAGTTGGATGAGTCGCTGCTACGTCGGCGTCGGAGCAACAGCAACAGCAACACTAATAGCAATCACAACCACAACCAAAACCACAGCCACGAGGCCGAAGTCGTCGAGTATTGCGAGGTGCTCGAGTCGCTGCCAGTTAGCAATATGTTGTCGGCGGGAACGCAACACAGCAGCAAGCAAGGTGGGCGAAAAATCAAATGAATTGAGGAGAAGTTTCTCTCTAAATTGAAAGCGGCACAGTGAAAAAATTCGGCAATTCTCGCACACAACAAAAACTAATGAGAAAATATTACAATATAAAATCCAATAGCAAAGTGTTCCCCATTACTTCATTTTTAAAGTTATTAAACAATAGTATTGAGTTATAATCAGCAATCGCATGGTGAAATAACTGACTTAGAATACTATTTAATTTCCAACGTATAATCTTTATATATCAAATTCTATCATTAGTACAATTAACCAATATCAAATAAAAGTGAACCTAAAAAATTAATTTCAGTTTGATTAGTTAATAAATAATTAGTTAAAAATTTTACAAATCCACAATCAAATTGTGTAGTGATTTAAATAATTTTACAAAACCATTAGTAATAAAGTATTCTATCAACAAGATCCATATTTTTCCAGTGTAAAAAATAATTAAATCAAAATCTGATTCAAAACACTTAAATTCCCTGTGTTATCAGGGAACTTCCTTGAAAACAAATATTATTAAAACACCAAATAGACAGAATGAATCAAAAATTGTTTTGATTTTGAAAAACATGTTATTTAGCTGAAACAAAATAAAAAACTAAACACAATCAGGGGAAATTTTCATAAGCATTAGATGAAAAAAAGTGAATCATTTAAAGTGAAAGAATAATGTTTTTAATATCGTCCATTTAATTTGTGAATTTCTGTTAGGCTGAAAGCCATTATTTTTCACTGTGCACAACCGACAAATATTAAAGAGAATCAAACCTAATCTCATCAAATTTAAAGTGAACCAAATTACTCATAAATGATTTTTCCCAAAAACACAGTTTCCAGAAGCAATAATAGCAACAGTTGCTGCCGGAGTCGCAGCAGTAAGACATATTCGATGGGAGCAACAACATCCTCCAGCGCTGGATCCACATCCGCATCCACATCCACATCCTCGAAGCGGCGATGCTGCAAGTGCAAGTGCCGCGATGCCTTCCGAGGATTGAGGGACATGCTGCCCACATCCAGCACGTCGAGCAATAAGAAGGACTCCGCCGGTGTGGTGGTGCCTTCATCGTCGGTTCCGAGGAAATCCCGGACGGCAGATCGCCGCTCCACACCGCCCACATTGGGCGCCTCCAATGGCAGCAGTGTCCATCGGCAGCAGGGCCAGAGGAAGCGGAATTCAGTGGCCGTTCCGGATGCGAGTCATCACCATCACCAGGTGATCATCCGGATAACCTCGCCGCGCTTTGTGGTCGAGTCGCCCAGTGGCCGGGTCACTGTGGTCACCGAACCAGTCGCCCCGCCCCAAACGCCCAGGACTCCGCCCCAGTCACGCCCCCAGTCGACAGCCGCCCCCCGGAACAGCAGGCGTTTCATCAGCAGGCGGAATCGCTGGGCGCAACAACATGACGGTGCACTCGCAAATCGACTTCATGCACTGCCTCGTCCCCGATCTGGAGCGGATCACGAACAGCAGCTTCTACTGGGGCAAGATGGACCGCTACGAGGCGGAGCACCTGCTCGAGGGCAAGCCGGAGGGCACGTTCCTGCTGCGCGACTCCGCCCAGGAGGAGTTCCTCTTCTCGGTCACATTCCGCAAGTACGGCCGATCACTCCATGCCCGCATCGAACAGAGCGGTCACAAGTTCAGGTGAGCCACTGCCACTGCCAATGCCACTGTCACTGCCATCGTCCTTATCTTGGGGTCACTTTCTTTCTTCTTAAATTTCTGGGAATTTAATTCCACCAATCAGCAGATTAATTTATGCGAATGCAAGTCAATGAAACTGTGTGGAATTAATTCTTGGAATTATGATTAGGCAGTTTTTAGATGCCAATGGCGTCATTGAATTGCTGATAATGAAGCAATCTATTTAAAAGCTTAGCAAGAAGTACTTGGATTGTAGTAAAAAGAAATTTTATTTGGAATTTATTTGGTTTAGCTACTATGATGATTTCTTTATGAGCATATAAATTTTGAATGCCTTTTTTTAAAGCTCAGTCATTTATATTTTAAATATTTCTACATTTAGGTTTTTTCATGCGAATATTTTATTGAAATTTAAATAATATTTATATATATAATATTTATATATTATATTATATTTTTTAGGGAGGGTTATGTAATGAGTAAACTAGCTTTTTAAATGGGTTTTTTAAATGTTGGGATCCCTTGTGCATATGGTAAAACTCTAAACTAACGATTTGCTATATTTTTACAGCTTCGACTGCCACGATCCGTGTGTGTTTACGGCGCCCACGGTGACTGGACTGCTGGAGCACTACAAGGACCCCGCCTGCGTGATGTTCTTCGAACCCTGCCTCACGATTCCCCTCCACCGGCGGCAGACATTCTCGCTGCAGCAACTGGCCCGGGCCACGATCGTGTCCAACACCAGCTACGACGGGATCAACCAGCTGGAGCTGCCCGGTCGCCTGAAGAGCTACCTCAAGGAGTACCACTACAAGCAGAAGCTGCGCGTCAAGCCCATCGACCTGAACACCCCGGTGCCGTACTACGGCGACGTATAGCGGGAGGAGCAACAGGTGGGCTTCACCTACTACGAGGACGTGGAGAGCGGCAGCGAGGAGGACGAGGACGACGACGCCGAGGGGGTCAACATCCGGGTGTCCTATGTGCAGCACGCCGAGGTGGTGGCCCAGTTGCAACAGCAGCAGCAGCAGCAGCACCAGGTCACCACCACCTCCGCCAATCGATCCTCCAATCTGCAGGAGCAGCTCAGCAGGCTGCCCAATCGCATGGCAGCGGCTTTTGGCCGGATGTCGGCCAATCTGAACTGCTACCAGACGGTCGCCACGCCAGATCGACGGGATCGATGCTGAGGGAGCCACCAGAAACAACCACCACCCAGAAACCAAAACACTCAACCTGAGACAATCCCAGTGCAGCGTGTGCCGCCACCATAAAGTTAAAGATCAAACGGAAACGGAAACAGAAACAGAAACCGTAGCTACAACAGAATCGCTTACTTGCTACCACAAGACTGTCATAGATCGAAAAAGGAATTCAACTCCAGCTGAGGATTGAAAAGATCATTTATATCTCATTTTACAAGAAATTTTTAAATTTGTGACGCTCTTGTTAGTAAGTCAGCGATATGTCAAAAATCAAAATCGCTTCTAGCTAATTGTACTATAAACTAAGTATTATTACTTAAAGCAAACAACACACCCTCTCCTACAATGTTAAGTATTGCAAAATGGGAAAGCCAACCAAACTTTCTGTTTTAATATTTCGTTGTATTTATTTTAATGTACGGAATCTAAATTATGTGTAAATATGATCTAGTTAGTGTAAAACTCTCTCATTAGCCAAATTTCCAAATGTAATTTTCACCTATTTATAAATATACTTTATTTATTTATTCGAAGTGATTTCGTTCCCAAGCGAGTGCTTTGTTTTTACAAAAACTATCAGTTATACACGTGTAGAGCATTTGTACATATTACCGATTTTCGTATAAGCTATTAGCTATATTTAATATAAAGAATTATAAATCATGTATTCCTACCTAGGTGGTTGCTGTTATGCGTAAACATTCAATAAGCAGTTGTTTCCAAGACCTATTTAATGTATTTTACATATCCAAAATGTTGATGAGCATGAGTATCAATATTCAAAACAAAAACAAAAAAAAAAAAACAAAAGCCAAACAAATAAAGTTGATCAAGATATTAGCAAGAATCAAAATGTGTTTTAAATTTTAGATGGGCATATTCAAAATGATACATTTAACCACATCAAATGTAGTGGGTCTTATTAAATTTAAAAATCGCATTGCTACAATTTTTGTTTTCTGAATATTGTTCTTAAACTATTGCTTGAAAACAATATCAAAATTAATTAAAATTTAAAACATTAACTGCTTTTAGCGTTTTCCATAAAAACTTTCATTAGAATGAGTAACTTGTCCTTGTTCGATCGTTCTATATTTGTAATGGTTTTATCATATGTAGGGAGAAAATAAGCTAGAAAATTACAGTACGAGTATAGTACTTACTAACAACAATTGTAGCTGTTAGTTATATTTTAGCTAAGTTAATTGTTTAATTTATTTGACCATCAATTTAAAAAAGGAAATGTGGAAGAGATTGTTTATCACAAGCTAGGTCCAGTAGTAATTTGCATCTACTTGTCGACTGGTCACACTGCGTTTCAGACATTCATAGCAAATATCTTTTGTACCATTTAGCTTTAGTAAGACATGCCTTTTATTATATAATTAAAATTGCAAAGCCACAGAGTTTAAGGCTGTGCTTAATTTTGTGATAAGTGGGGCGTTCACCTACGACTAGATTGCTAAAAATGTAAAAATTTCAAAAAAATAAACGAAATTTTAACCTGCTGATTTGCAAAGCCCGTATTCAGTGCAACAACTGTCAAATTTATCTGACAAACAAAAAGACTAAAATTTACTTTTAATATTTTACTGTGTACATAAAACGAATTAAATAAAGGCTGCTGTGTTTCAAGCGGTTGAATTTAAATTGTACAGCTGGCTACCAGCTGACCACAATTTGTGGAATACCCTAGATGTGCATGGTATATTCTTTTCAAGTGAAAATGGTATTAAAAGTATATTTTTGAGTGCCGGACGGTAAGTCTCCTGCACCACTGCGCGGTCACACTGCCCAAAAGTGTACAATTTTTTCTCCAGCTCGGTTTGTTTTTTTTTCGCTCGTCTGGTCAAGTAACCTCCGATTTCCGATCCGATTTCGATTCGATCCGTTTTCGGATGATAGCTCTGAGCGCGCTGCTAACCAAATACACGATCGGTATTATGAGCAACCTAAGCAATGGCAGCAACAACAACAATCAGCAACAGCAGCAGCAACAACAGCAACAACAACAGCAGCAGGGCAATGATGGTGCTGCTGCTGCTGGTGGAGGAGGAGGAGGAGGGGGAGCGGAATTTGTGGCGCCACCGCCCGGATTAGGTGCCGCTGTGGGCGTGGCAGCCATGCAACAGCGACAACGCCTGCTGCAGCAACAACACCAACAGCAGCAGCAGCAACAACACCACCAGAATCCTGCCGCCGAAGGAAGTGGACTGGAACGCGGCAGCTGTCTGCTGCGATACGCCAGCCAAAATTCCCTGGACGAGAGCTCCCAGAAACACGTTCAGCGTCCAAATGGCAAGGAACGCGGCACAGTGGGACAGTACAGCAATGATCAGCACACGGCGCGATCCTTCGACGCCATGAACGAGATGCGCAAGTAAGGATAACTCTGGGTTCTATGGTAGAAGACACTTTTAAATGGGATATATTTAAATATGCCAGTAAGGATGTAATTTGGTGTCACTTTAATTGGCCCACATTTCCTGATTTTGCTTAACTAAGGACATAAATATTCTACCTGTGACAAGGCTACAAAATACCTAAATATGTAAATACCGAAACATAGGCAGTATTTTTTAAACCAACGAGTTCTATCTATCTATTCTTGATAAGGCGATGGGGGAATATCTATTTCAAACCTATCTAAAAGACCCCAATAACCGGACTAGGCTTAGAAAGGATATTCCCCGAGTACCAGATCAACTACATCATACATGTAAAATGTCTTAAAAATAAACAACAAAAAACTTTAAAGAATTCCCTTTTAGAGCTCTGTTTAACCTGTTCTATAATTCACAAACCAATTAATTTGAATTTATTATGTGCATCAAAAGTAAATCCCGCCTACAACATTAAAAAAAAAAAACCTGTATGAAACACTCATTCAAAAACCTGAATTTGAAAAAAGATTCTGTGTTTATTCATATATTTGTTTATAAATGTATGATTAATCTTATTTAAGAGAATGCTTGTTTGAAGGCATCATTAGTCGATTGATAACAGGTTTGAGTATAACCTTTTACTATATTATAATGAAACTTTTAATAGAGCATTGACTTTTTGACCTACCTCAAAGCAATGTAAATAGAATGTAGTCGCATATATTCTATATTTAAATCACCTCCCTTTGTTCCCAAACAAAGGAGGCATTATTAAATCCCTATATTGGACGGGGACAGGTGGACTGTCTGCCCCTCGAGATTTCTGATTTGGGCCAAGATGCGAAAATATAATCGCTGAAAATGTCGGACGATCGTCACTCACATATTTGCGCAGTTCGCTTTGTTTATCTGCCCGTTGCTAATATTTGTGTTTGCTCACAATATTTGCCGACGCTTTTGTCGCGGGGCCATTCGCATTAATTATTGTCTAGTTTTTATTATGATGAGTTTTTGTACGCCTTCGGGTTTTGCATTAGGCCACGACCTTGAACTTGGTGAGGCCAAAAATAGTTCGCATTTCGAATCGTATTTTGATTTTGATTCCGCTTCCGCGTCTCTGTCTTTTGTTGGTTATCTGGAAAACTACTGGCAGAGTGGAAATTTTATTGGCAGCTTACATAAAACAAGTTTTTTCAACCCAATCGGAATCGGCGTCGAAAGTGAATGTGGTGTAACCCAAAAAGTAAGCCATGCGTTGTAAACTGGCCTCATGTTTATTGTTTTGGATTGGGAAACGCATATATAAGCAGGATTCTATATATTCATTCTAACGAGAATTGTTATGTTTGTCATCAAATTCTTTATTCTATTTAAAATTGGAAGACAAAATGTTTTTAATTTAAGATTGATTTTACGGCCTGAATCTTTGCAAACAAAGTAAATAATAACCAGATTTTATATTTACAAACCTTCCCAGCCTTGAAAACTTTTGGCACGATCTTAAACTGTTTATTCGGCGATAAAAGCTATTCATTATTATTGGATTTTTGTTTGTGTACATGTGGAGTAATCGATTTAAAGTCATTTTCAAGGAAATTACTTTGTTGGTATAAATATTAATATTTAAACTCATTTATCCATTTCCGTTTGCAGACAAAAACAGCTCTGCGATGTGATATTAGTGGCCGATGATGTGGAGATCCACGCCCACCGCATGGTGCTGGCCTCCTGCAGTCCGTACTTCTATGCGATGTTCACCAGCTTCGAGGAGTCGCGCCAGGCGAGGATCACGCTCCAGAGTGTGGATGCCAGAGCCCTGGAGCTGCTCATCGACTACGTCTACACGGCCACCGTAGAGGTGAACGAGGACAATGTGCAGGTCCTCCTGACGGCCGCCAATCTGCTGCAGCTCACGGATGTTCGCGACGCCTGCTGCGACTTCCTGCAAACCCAGTTGGACGCCAGCAATTGCCTGGGCATCCGGGAGTTCGCCGATCTTCATGCCTGCGTGGAGCTACTCAACTACGCAGAGACTTACATCGAGCAGCATTTCAAGTGAGTGGCCTGAGACTGCGAGTGACGCAATGATCTGTTTACCAGCCGATGGGAATCCATTACTGTATCTGTTTAGTTTCAAAGTATATCGTTTGTTCATAAGCAACTCGTTTTCCAGAAAATTAATTTTTAATTGACTAATGAAACTGACAGATAATGTCTGGCGTAAAAAACATATTATAGATTATAAAAGGTTATAAGGATCAGTTACCTATTATATAAGTATGCTTTTTGGCGTATGGTTTTCAGAGATAACGACTGAAATTATATGGTATTAAATTCAAGTGTTTTTATTCAATAGTATTCTTAATACATCTATAATTGAAATACAATTATTTCAACGTTTTGTAGTCAGCCATACAAATTTACTACCAAATCGTTATTTATAAGACAATCACGTACTGTTGTCTACGAGTAGCTATTTTTTGACTTAATTCTGAGGCCTGTTATAAGATCACGTTTTAAAATGTTATTTGTAGAAAAACTAAAAAGCTAAATCAATAATTAAGTTTATAGTAGCAGAGATGATTTTAATATATTTTGTTTATAGAAAAAACTAAAGGCTAAATCAATCAATAATCAGTTAAAATAGCAGAGACGACTTTTATATATATATTGAATCAGTGCTTTAATGAGTGATCTTATTGATTAGCAGCAGTCTCTTTTGTTTTGCACTTAAGAAATATATATATTTAACTGTAAGCAGGCTAAATTCAAAAGGAAATGTGTATTTAAAGCACTGAACCGGTTTGTCGTCGGTTAATTGAATTTTGGCCCGCTGCACTCCGCGCCCATTAATCGTGCCTTAGTACTGACTGCTCGTCTTTGGTCTCTTTGCAGCGAGGTGATCCAGTTCGATGAGTTTCTGAACCTCTCGCACGAGCAGGTCATCAGCCTGATTGGCAACGACCGGATCTCGGTGCCCAACGAGGAGCGCGTCTACGAGTGCGTGATTGCCTGGCTGCGCTACGACGTCCCGATGCGGGAGCAGTTCACCTCACTGCTCATGGAGCACGTGCGCCTGCCCTTCCTCTCCAAGGAGTACATCACCCAGCGCGTGGACAAGGAGCTCCTCCTCGAGGGCAACATCGTGTGCAAGAACCTGATCATTGAGGCGCTGACCTACCACCTGCTGCCCACGGAGACAAAGTCCGCCAGGACAGTGCCCCGGAAGCCGGTGGGCATGCCCAAGATTCTGCTCGTGATCGGGGGCCAAGCACCCAAGGCCATTCGCTCCGTGGAGTGGTATGATCTGCGCGAGGAGAAGTGGTACCAGGCGGCCGAGATGCCCAACCGCCGATGCCGCTCCGGCTTGAGTGTGCTGGGCGACAAGGTGTACGCCGTCGGCGGCTTCAATGGTTCGCTGCGCGTCCGCACTGTGGATGTCTACGACCCGGCCACCGATCAGTGGGCCAACTGCAGCAACATGGAGGCCAGGCGATCCACTCTGGGAGTGGCTGTCCTAAATGGCTGCATCTTCGCTGTGGGCGGATTCGATGGCACCACGGGGCTGTCGAGTGCGGAGATGTATGATCCCAAGACTGACATCTGGCGGTTCATCGCCTCCATGTCCACGCGACGCAGTTCCGTTGGCGTGGGCGTCGTCCATGGGCTGCTCTACGCCGTGGGCGGCTACGATGGCTTCACCCGCCAGTGCTTGTCCTCGGTGGAGCGCTACAATCCGGACACGGACACCTGGGTGGCAGTGTCGGAGATGAACTCGCGGCGAAGTGGCGCCGGCGTGGGAGTGCTGAACAACATCCTGTATGCCGTGGGCGGACACGACGGGCCGCTGGTGCGGAGATCCGTGGAGGCCTACGACTGCGAGACGAACTCGTGGCGTTCGGTGGCCGAAATGTCGTACTGCCGGCGAAATGCGGGCGTGGTGGCTCACGATGGCCTGCTCTATGTGGTGGGTGGCGACGATGGCACCTCGAATCTCGCCTCCGTGGAGGTCTACTGCCCGGACTCGGACAGCTGGAGGATACTGCCCGCACTGATGACCATCGGACGCAGCTATGCGGGCGTGTGTATGATCGATAAGCCCATGTGAATGGAAGAGCAGGGTGCATTGGCCCGGTAGGTTTACTATTACTATCTATAGCTATCAAATTCTAATTGTATTTTATTTACCCTTTTAGCCAAGCTGCTTCGCTGGCCATCGCACTGCTGGATGATGAGAACAGCCAGGCGGAGGGCACGATGGAGGGCGCCATTGGTGGTGCCATCTACGGCAATCTGGCGCCGGTCGGAGCGGCTGCTGCGGTCGCTGCTCCAGCGGTTGCGCCAGCTCAAGCTCTCCAACCGAATCATCCGCACTACGAGAACATCTATGCGCCCATTGGCCAGCCCAGCAACAACAACGGCAACAATAGCAGTAGTAGCAACAACAACAATCAAGTTGCCGCCGTGGCCAATGCCAATGCCCCTGCAAATGCCGATGAGAATCAGCAGCAACAATTACCACCACCAGCGCCAACTGAAGCCAATGCCAATAACAATCCACAGCCACTAATAGCACCAGCACCATCACCACAACAACAACAACAGCAACAACAGCAACAACAGCAGCAACAACAACAAGCACAGCCACAACAACAACAACAACAACAACCTCAACGCATACTGCCCATGAATAACTATAGAAATGATTTGTATGATCGATCTGCAGCGGGAGGAATCCTAGGATCGAGTAGCTCTGCAGCCGCTTATGATGTTCCAAGAGCCGTGAGATCGGGCCTCGGATATAGGCGAAACTTTCGCATAGACATGCAAAATGGTGAGAACTTAATCTTACTTTAGATTCAATGCAATGGGATGGGTTAATTTAGAAGAATTGCAAACAGCTATAATTTGGGAAGTGAGAGAACTTAATTTCGCAAACTCTTGATTAGTTTCATTGACAAGATTTCACAATTAATAGAATCAATTTAATTATTTTGTAGAGTTTGAACTGTTTAAGATAGCCTTCTTTTCTGTGAATTTTATAAACAAACTTTAGGTCAAAGTAGTGAAAAGGTAGCTCGAAAGAAACAAAAATAAACAAACAACAATGAAATACTTGTTAGAATCTTCGAAGATCAAATTAATTATAACTTTGTTTATTTTGATTTATATAAATTTTTTTAGATAAACGTAATTATATGTTTACCAAAGATTAATAACTTATTTGCAATATTTTTTAGAATTGTAAGAACGAATTTTTAGTTTAAGCGAACAACTAAACTTTTATTATTTTAAATTAAAGGTGGCTATTCGAGTTATTTAGATAATCATATATATAGTTTTAAAAGCTTCTAAGCACTTTTTGTTTTAGTTAATTATAACTTTACTTTTTTAAATTAAATAGCTTGCCTTAAGTTATTTAGATAATTGCTTATTGATTGATTATGGCTTTTATACCTTCAAATGACTATATATTTAAATCTCCTATTTTTTCTCCCCCAGGAAATCGCTGTGGCAACGGAATTCGCTGCACTCCCCTGTACACGAACAGTCGCTCCAACTGTCAACGGCAGCGCAGCTTTGACGACACGGAGTCCACCGATGGCTACAATCTGCCCTACGCCGGAGCGGGAACAATGCGGTACGAGAACATCTACGAGCAGATCCGGGACGAGCCGCTCTATCGCACCTCCGCTGCCAGTCGCGTGCCGCTGTACACACGCCTCGATGTTTTGGGCCATGGAATCGGACGGATTGAGAGACACCTGAGCTCCTCCTGCGGCAACATCGATCACTACAATCTCGGCGGACACTACGCTGTGCTGGGGCACTCGCACTTCGGCACAGTGGGTCACATTCGACTGAACGCCAGTGGAGCGGGCGGAGCAGCAGCTGGCGCAGCGGGCAGTGGCACCTGCAATGTGCCCAATTGTCAGGCGTACATGGGAGGCGCCAGTTCGTCCGTGCCCGTGGAGTACGCCAATGTGAAGGTGCCTGTGAAGAACAGTGCCTCCAGCTTCTTCAGCTGCCTGCATGGCGAAAACTCGCAGAGCATGACCAACATTTACAAGACTTCTGGAGCAGCAGCGGCCGCCATGGCTGCCCACAACTCCCCCTTGACGCCAAACGTGTCCATGGAGCGAGCCACTCGATCCGCTTCCGCCGGTGCCGCTGGAGCATCTGGAGCAGCTCTTGAAGACCATTCCCCGGCGGATAATGTTCCCAGCTCATCGATTGGCATTGCCAATCGCACCACTGGCGCCATTCCAAAGGTGAAAGCAGCCAGCAAGGCAGTCAAGGAGTCGACAGGATCCTCCACAGCTGCATCGCCGGTTTTGGATAAAAGCACATCCACTGGTGCGGGAAAAAGCGTAACTTTGGCCAAGAAAACTTCCACGGCAGCAGCACGTTCGAGTTCTTCCGGAGATGCCAATGGCAATGGCAATGGCACGCTGAATCGCATCTCCAAGTCCAGTTTGCAATGGCTACTGGTCAACAAGTGGCTTCCTCTGTGGATTGGCCAAGGACCCGATTGCAAGGTGATCGACTTCAACTTCATGTTTTCCCGCGACTGCGTGAGCTGCGACACCGCTTCGGTGGCCAGCCAGATGTCCAATCCCTACGGAACTCCTCGCTTGAGTGGTCTTCCCCAGGACATGGTGCGATTCCAGAGCTCGTGCGCCGGAGCTTGTGCGGCAGCCGGAGCATCCTCCACCATTCGCAGGGACACCAATGCCTCGGCTCGCCCGCTGCACAGCACTCTGAGTCGCCTGCGGAACGGAGCGGAGAGAAGGAATCCCAGCAGGGTGGCTGGCAACTACCAGTACGAGGATCCCTCATACGAGAATGTGCACGTGCAGTGGCAGAATGGCTTCGAGTTCGGCAGGTCGCGGGACTACGATCCGAATCCCACCTACCATCAGCAGCGACCCATGTTGCAAAGGGCCCGGTCGGAGAGTCCCACGTTCAGCAACCAGCAGAGGCGTCTGCAGCGCCAAGCAGCCCAGGCCCAACAGCAGGCGCAGCAGGCGAAGCCGCCCGGATCTCCAGATCCGTTCAAGAACTACAAACTGAATGCGGACAACAACAGTTTCAGGCCGAAGCCATCGGCTGGCGAGGAACTCGAGGGCGCTGTGGGTGGAGCAGCAGCTGAGCTGGCTCCTCCAGAACTGGACAGCGAGCCCGCCGATCCTGTGAGCTTGAGTGATAATGAGACTGAGACGGCCAGCAGTCAAAACAACCCTCCAGGCGGCAATGTGAATGAGCACAACGATTAGAAACGGATAAAATATGTTGGTTCTGGCAGAGCAGCGTTCTGTGTTTAAATTTCAGTCATTCTCTGATTTAAAAGTTGTTCGATTTTATATGTAACACAAGAACTGGGTTTTTTATAGTTTTTAGAACCAAAAGTGATACCAGTTTATATAATAGTAAACAAGTATGAGTATTTAATAACAAATTCGCAGAGGGCACGTAATTTTTTATAAAGCTTAAAACCTAAGAGAACTTTAACGCTTTTGATCAACCAACGCTGCTCTTCAAAATTGGATCTCACAAATTAATAACAGACCAAAAGAAATTCGAGCAAATTAAAATTACATTTTAAAAGCAAAAAAACTAAGAAAAATTGTAGAATTTGATATAACTGTAGAAATCAGCCAAAGCTCAAGATCGAATATTATGTTGCATACCGTAGTTGTAGTTCAAAACAGAATTTTTGTGTGTCATGTCAAGTAAAAGTTATTCCTAAGAGCCATATCATATCCGTTGTAAGGCATACCCATAAGCAATATGCATTTGATATGATAGTTTCCCATTTATTTTCCACTGCCCACTCCAAATTCCTTTATATATTGGCATTTTTCTTATGCACTTGCTTAGTTTGAGTACGTTAAGTTAGGGCTTTGCATCGATACAATAATATTTAGATTAATATTGTAAAAGCTCTCCATTATCGTTTAAGTCAATTAGAGTTACAGGTATTATTTACATGCATATATAAACAAGAAAAGGCATATACAATACTCCATAACCGGTACATAAATATATAATCATACTTACATGTGTATTGAGTTTAACTAATTCATAATAAAATAGTTCAACGAAACGTGTGTGTTGTTGTTGGTTTTTCTGGTAGAATTTTCTTTTTATTTTAACAAACTTATAAAATTGGATGCTTCGTTCTCATTGCTTTTTGTTGTTGTTGTTGTTCATATACACAGATACATTAAATATCAATACCGTTAAATTAAAAAATACAATATTTGTTCGTAATATACTCGTATTTATAGATATATCTTGCCTCGCTCCCGTCCGCTGCCAATGCCCTCCAGGGAATTATTTCCGAGTGAATTTCGAATCCTCGAATCCTTCGATTTCGCCGATATGTTTGCGCTATGCTCCCTCACATGGATAGACTCAAAAAAGCATAAACACTGATGAGCGCTAATTGAATTTGCATAGTATACGTATATGTGTTTATAGTTTTTTTTTTGTTTCTTGAAATTTCGCTTCTAATTCGAATATTACTCTCGTTACTCTTTGAATATTTGTAGTAATTGGTTTGACTGCAATTTCTCGCTATCTCTACAAGCTTTTGTCTAAATCGCTGATAAGTTCTTTAGGATTAGGTTTTATATATTAATTGCTGTCGCTGTCGCTGCTGCTGCTGCTCCTGCTCTTGATGTTGTTGATTTTGTAGTATACTTCGTTTCACCGCCTCGTTCAATGCTAAACTTAAAATATACACGAAGAACTAAGAACTAAACTAGAGAAATGCTTTAAAAAATTAGCCCAGAACTATACAAAAACGCTTTAAGCGTCTCACCACCCTTTCTCATTCTCATTCTTGCCACAAGCTCAGATCGATTTAAAAAAAAATTACACACGTATCGTTAGTTAACTGCTAAAATAAGATAAGCGACATAAAATTAACATTTCAAGCGGTTTGGTTAAAAGAAATTGAATCGAACTCCATGAAAATTCCCAAAACAATGGCCAAAAAGTGCCGCCTATGTTACTTTCGCATCTATATCCTCGATATAATTTCCGACATCAGATCGCCCGCTCTCTACTTGGGCAGCTCGTAGATCTGGACGGGCAGCGCCTTGGGCGTGATAATCTCATCCTCGAAGTCCTCGTCATCGCCGTGGATGGCATAGTCGCCGCCGTTGTGCTCCCCCTCGAACTCGTTGGGCACGATCTCCACGTCGCTGGGCCGCGAGGTGCTCCGGGATCCTCCGCCGGAGTCGCTGCCGTGCCGATTGGATCTCGTCTTGGTCGACTTGGTCACGAAGTCGCGCAGCATGTGCGCGTACAGGATGTCGTCCAGGTAGTACATGGTGCCCAGGTTGTACACGAACACCTCGCTCTCCGTAATCTGGGCGTTGTTCACGCTGGTGTAGTTGCTGCCCGGGTTGCGGGTGATCTTTATATGCCCACCGCCGATCGTCTCGAACACTTCATTGTCGCGCAAATCGCGGTTGTAGAGTCGCCCTTTGACGAAGTGGTTCAGCAACATTTTCACACCCCGCTGTGAAGCCTTAAATAAAGGGGATTTTAAATAGTAGTAGTTATTGAAATAGGGACCATAATCACTATAGGTGATATAATACAAAATAAAAATTAAATTAAAATTAATTGATTATTTATTGAAATTTAAAATAAAATGATTAATTTTTGAGGCATTTTTATTAAAGCCATTAAATAATACAAAATATATATTTATTAAACTGTGATTATTTTTGTTCCTCTATTAAAATACTTACCATAACTTCATCAGATAGTTTGTCGAATCCTAATTTCTCAAAGGCCCGATCTTCTGGCACAAAGAACGTGTAATTGGCTCCGGAAATGTGGGGAGCAATCTCAGCACTGTTTAGGTATCTTTTGGGGCATAACAACCATATTATTAATAACTGATTTTCTAGTGTTACATTCCAAGATTCTTACCTGGTAATCTGGGTAAATCGGGGATCTCTCTCCAAAGCCAAAAACGAGTGGGACAGGAACTGTGCTCCAAACCAAGGGAAGGCTAGCAATGGAGGTGTCTCCTTATCCTTGTGCATCTATGGGGTATTTTAATTTTAAAATATAAACTTAATTGTGATATAAGAAATATATACTCTGAAATTTTAATAAACTAATTAAGAAATGGTAGACTACATATCCGTAAAACACCTTTTCATTGTCATTGTCACTTTAAAATTTTAAAATTCCGTTTAAATAGCAATAATTCATACCACATTTAATAAAAAGTACAATACTCTTAGAGAATTTGGACTATTTAAACGTATACGAATATTAGCCTCATAAAAAAAAAATGAAATTAAGATATTTTAGTCTAACATATCCTTAGATTTAATTTAAAACAGTATTTAATAAGGTGTAATTTTCAGCCCATTTAATTAAAAGGTTACAAAATTTTACAGAATGTTGACTTAATTTTCCCAGTGTTGTGTATTTAATTAGGTCTAATTTATACCACACTTTAAAAAAAAATATTTAAAAATCTTACAATCTTATTTAATGGTTACTCAATTTTCCCCAGTGCAGATTAGGCATAATCGGCTTACCTGATGCAGTTTGGAGACCACAGCCTCGGTGACGAAGAGCACCTCGGAGATGATGAAGACCTGATTGCCATTGGAGAGGTTGTAGTCGGACATAATGCTCACATTATTCACCGTGGGTGTGGCTATTGAACGGGAGGGAACAAGGCGCCGTTGTCATAAACTGAATTCGGGAGTGTAATTTATGGGAGCCACTTACGTTGGCCGTGGAAGACGACATCCTCGCCACCCATGGTGGGCACGACGACCTCGTCCATATTCCGGACATCGGCCAGCCGCAGGGGTCGCTGCATGGGCAGAAAGTGGTTCCTCAGCACCGACTCGGTGAATTCTGGCACGGAGAACGGGTAGAATCCCCAGTCGATGGGATGCCAGCGCTGGAAGGCGTTGTCCGAGGGAATCAGCACCGTGTACGCGTTGTCGTCCATAATGCGGGTCAGGTTGCTCTTGGAGAGGAAGTGCTGGAAGACCTTGGTGCCCGTCTTCATGTTGGCCAAAAACGACATCAGCGGACTGGCCTTCGACTCCTTTATGACGGGCTCCACCTTAGCATGTGCATTCGTAATGTTCGGCTGTTCCAGCGGTTGGGGGTCGTTGTAGCGGCTATATAGTATACGGGGAAAACGAATTTAATTTTCATCTAATCTTAAAGCATAAATATAATAAAAGCATATTTCTAAAAGACAAGAAGTGGAGCAAATTCCTTGAAAGGTATTTATAGCATATTATATCATAAAAAAATATATTATCGATTTATTTGTTTTTTGTGGGGAATGAATATGCAGTATATGATCATAGGGATGTGGTGGGACTGAGCCTACAGATTGAGATGGAGATGGCTCGGTCAAAAGTGCGGAAGAGGAAAGTAAGAATGTGTGTGTGTCTGCGAAAAGTTGGACCAGCAAAAACTTTGTTTGCCCACTGATAAATTTCGCATGAGTGCACTTTTGACCGCAAACAAACTAGGACTAGGAACTAAGCAGAAGTGTTCAACAGTGGGCTCATGAAATGGAAAAAGGAAATTATTTAATAGGTCATTGGTCTTATTGTGTCGAGCACTATTAATATTATATATATTTATATTTATAATTGTATAAATCACTTTTCTTTATCCTACTCTATAATATATATTTTTGGTGTTTTTCTATCTATTTGCTTAAATTGTAACATTTATGACCGAACTTTGACCCACTGTGTAAGAATGGGTGGGAGTGCCCCTACTCACTTGTTCGTTTCCTGGATATTGCGCTTGGAGTAGGGCGACTTCCTATCGCCCAAATAACCATCAATTGCAATGGCCATCAGGTTCTCATTGATACGCAGCTTGTGGAGTATTTGCTGGCCATTGAGTAGCCAAACATTGTTGTGGGATTTTTCCAATTTACGGAAAACGATTTTGTGTCCGTTCCCATTGCCGAAGGACTCCTCCTCCTCCTTGCTGTTACTGTTCCCATTGCCGTTGGCCACGGCGCTGTAGCTGTCGAAGATTTTCCCGGGCACCACATGCTCCAACATGAACTCCTTTAGCCGCGGCTTCTCAATGCTCCGCACATCGATTTTGGGCACAATCAATGTGTACGGCAGGTCTGTGGTGGCGATAGCGATCGCGATTTCGATGGCGAAGGCCGGAATGTCCGGATTGTCCACCGGAATGGGGCGAACATGCAAAGGAGACGGAGAGACAGTTACCAAGGGAATGGCTCACTTAAAAATGTAAACTGTTTTCGTTTCATTTACGGCTAAGTGCTGCGCTCAGCGCACCTGAATCCCCAAACCTGTCTGCATGCTAATCAAGTAATTAACTTTGGGCCCTCACGCGGGCTACATAATTTGTTGTATTTGTTTTTTATTTGGGTGTGTAGTCTGTATTTTGTAGCTTTAATTAGCTTAAATTATTATGCCACGCGCGTTCCGGATTGTTATGTTGGGAGGTGTGTCTGGAGCTATTTTCAATGATTCTTAATTACTTTATAGCTTTTCCTTTTGTTTAGAAGTATGTAAGTATTTTTAGCATTCACTAGAATTCAATATTTAAATTATACATTTTTTTTTATCAAGTTAAAATGACAACTATTATATAAATTTTAATTTTCCTTAATATCTTGTGAAAGCCAGCTTTTTACTTTAATTTGTTAATGCATATTCTGATTGAATGTCTTTTTGGAAGTCAGTTTTAAAATAATGACAGTTTTTGCTGAGAATTACATATATATATCATACATTTTGCCAACAAGAATGCTTTCAGTTAGCTTCTTTTGATGATTGCTGAAAAAAAGTTTAGCGTAAAACCAGGTATATTCATTTTTACTTGCAAAGGTAAAATGTTTATTTAATTCACCATGAATATATTTTTTTTTTATATTTATTTAGGTCAAAAGTAAAGTTTACTTTTTTTTAGATAAATAATAAATCGCTTAATCCTATTTAATATAAATATATTTCTTTTCGTAGGCTAAAAAATAATTTTCAATGGCTAAGAACCAATAATAATTGTTTAATAAATATTCTAGAAACAAGTATTACAAGCTTCGGCTTCTTATTTGTTCCTTCCATGGTAATGGGTAAATTGAGTATTTTTTGTTTATGATCAACATTTGGACAGCTGAACGAAGTCATTTGTCAACGTCACACATTTTCATTTCCCATTTTCGGAGTTTTCTAGCTGTCTCGAGCTGTTTCGGGGAGTCAGTTGCGCCATGTCCTGTCTAACGAGCATTCTGCAGCTGCTGCAATTTCTGACAACGCTTTCGGGTTGCAATATTTACAGATATGTCGAAGGCAAGCAGATATTCAGACTGAGCCCGAAGATTAATTCCCTGGTGGGGGCCATGCACAGATTCTGGCTGAGACCCTGGCTGGTGGTGACATTTCTGATGCACTTAATCTTCTGGATGGTGGAGTTCCTCAACGGAATGGCAGACCCCACGCCCGGAAGCGAACGGCCCCTACATCTTATCTACACAGTGGGACTGACCATCGCCTCCACCCAGAATTTTTGCATCAGCATTGGAATCGCCTATCATTACAGGTAACGTTCTCAAAAATATACAATTCTTTAAGGGTAATTCCCATTCAAACCACTAATAAATTGCTCATCCGAAGGCTTATTTATTTTAATTTGTATTAATATATTTGTTAATCATCAGGTATCATCGTAATCTGATGCGACAGGTGCTTAACGGGTTCGCGAGTATCTATTTTAGCTACGAGAAAATTTGTGGACGGGCTCCGAAAATAAACTGGTGGTTTTTCGGTATTCAAACTTACAGAGTGCTTATCGCTTCCTTTGTGCATCAAAAAACATCGATTCTAGCTTTCGGAACAGGATCCCAGATGAACATAGTTCTGCGTGTATTTGGATTGCTATTCGTTTGCATTCAACCCTTTCTATTGTCCATGGTCGTCCATTTGGGCATCTTGGTTCTATATGCCTGCTACGACATCCAGATAAACCCAATGCAAAGTCGAAAGTCATTAAAGCTCAATGTTTTCCACCGAAAACTGATCAGACTTAGGCACAAATTCGATTGTCTGGCGCGGCCCTTTGTGTGGACGGTTTTGCTGGAGAATTTCCTACTATTTATAGGGAACTTTCATTTGGTCCTGTACGATCAGCAGTCAGTTAAACATCTTGGCCAAAGCCTTTTCGGCACCTTCATTTTTCCGATTGTCCTTTTACATGTGAATGTGGCCATTAAGACCGCCGAGAAAACGTTCGGCCAATTTAAGGCCAACTTTAGGCCACAGAGACAAGTAAGCAATCCCCTTTTGTATGTCTTTTAATCTAAAGAAACACATCTCTTAAGTCTACTTATAAAATCAGCTGATATTTAATTTATTAAAGCAAAGTTAAACTTCAACACAATTTAATTTGATATATTTTTTCAGACACAATTGCTTTGGCTTTACAGGCAAATAATGGAAACTACAGCTGATAGAAATAATGTCTTTCGCCTGGATCGGGGACTTATTTTGGAAATGCTTCGACTAGGATGGGTATTTGCCATGTTTGCGAATAGCTTGTTGCTCAACAGCACAGCCAAGCTGAGGCATTTTGAGGCTGTTAAGTATAAGAAATTTATTTAGTCCGAGATCCTGTGTTTATAGCCGAAGAAATCCTTTAAACTCTTAATGACATTTTTTTGATATTAAATATTTTGAAACACCTAGTCGAAATACAATAACTAGTTTAATTCAGTTATATTTAGAAAAAGTTGTTTGTTTTAAATGTTTGATGCATATTTCTTAAGAAGTACACATTAAAATAAGTTTATTCGAGAGCATGTTAAATATTTTTTAAATATATATTAAAATAGTGTTAATTGTAGAAAAGTTATAAACTTAAAAAACTTGTATGAAACTATACTTTTTTGTTAAATAACTATAATTTATTTCCCGTAAGCAAAGACACCTTGTTTTATGTTTTTCATGTAATATTGGTCATTGAAAATTCTCTCAATAATTTACTCCCGCCAAACTTTTCCCTTTGTTAAGTGCATGGGCTCGAACCATTCAGTTTTCGCCTTTTACTCACCCGACTTTGGCTTGTAGCCGTACAACTCGAGGACGGGAAAGCCATCGTCGATGAACCGGTAGACCTGCTGCCACTTTTCGTCTTCCTGGTTGACGCGTTGCAGGATGGCCAAGTCGGGCAGCACTTTGCCCTCAATCAGCTTGGCATTCTTCAGGCTGGCATCGATTCCGGTTGTCGTTGTCGTTGTGGATATTGTTGCGGCAGTTGCTGCAGCTGCTGCTGCATCTGCGACAGCAGCAACATCGGCAATCTGCAACAGCGACAGCAACACGAGCGTTGCCACCGGCACTTGCAACATTTTGCGCGACATTCAAGATGCGTTTTCGGTTTTATTATGTTGTGTATTTCTCTGCTGTTGTTCGTTAGCAAACTGTGAAATTATTTTTAATTGCTAGCACTTTTGGAGAGTTTTTGTTTGTTATTTTCTTTGAGTTTTTTCCACTTGTTCGTCAGTTTTTTTTTTTTTTTTTTATAGTTTTACGGTACCACGAGTTTATTCATTTTTTGTTGTTTGCAAACTTGTTTTCGGGCGAGAGGAGCTTTACATAATTGTCAAGTGCTGGAAGAAGAATGGGTGATTTTGTATTAGTTTGCAAACTTTTAACTTATTGAAATTCCAGGCGTTGCCTACGCGACTTAATGCGGGTATTCAAGTGTTTTGTATGCAAATCGTATCGCGTTTTCGCCTCTCTATAAATACGAATTTCTGTGCGGTTATATACTAAAATAAGAATAGTTTGCCTGAGTTCATCACGCTGCGATTTGCATTCGGTGATTGCGATTGCAGTCTGGGGAAAACCCGAAAAGGGCGGCACTATTACGCTGAGACGCCTGCCTGCCAGCCATTCCTGGGTATCGGGAAATGTTAAATTTTGCACACTTCTTTCTAGTCGTGATGGGCCCTCTCGCGTTTTATTCTCATTTTGCATATGAATCGTGGCTGTATAATAAACCATAATGTGCGACAATTTGTTTATTTGCTGACCTCTGCGCTCAAATCTGATCGCATACAAGGCTGTTCGCTCAGCGGCATGTGCACACATCTAAAGATACAAATACAGATACAGCTATCTGGCAGATAGTATATGAAGAAAGTAAATTAATTTCAATTAAAGTTGACAAAACTAGACGGCAAACTACGGCGTAAATAAACCGAGAGAAAAAGAACTGCGACAAACACCAATCAAAGCGAGTAAAAGAAAAGCTCTTAAATAAACTAAGTATTCCACAGAATCCGGAAGTTTTGAATGATCTAAAACACCCTTTAATTGTGAGTTGTTTTCCGAAAAACAATTTTCCCCTTAAGCTTAGCACCTTTGGCGCGCATTTGCGAACTGAACAGCGCCGATTCCCGATTCGAACTATTCTGCGAGCCCCTGTGGTGGTCAAATCGCCCGACTTGAAGACCAGAGCAAAAACCTGAGGCAACAGACAAGTCAGTCGGGCGACAAGCGGAGGAAAACGGGCTCAATGAGTGCCCGGTGGGAAATGGGATACCTCTGCCGCATTTTTAGGCCCCAGTGCAAACTTGTTTGTTTGACAGCTTCAAATCGGAAAAAAAATTAGGGGTCCAAAAACAATTGGTTTTTGAGAATTGTTTAATGTGGCTTCTTTTTATACAAGAGTGATAAGGGTTTTTTGTTTCCTAATTTGTTTTCACTTTGTGAAGACTGTATTAATTGATTTATTTATTTCTTCGAGTCTCCTAAAAATAAATTTCTCAAATTACGAATTTTTTGGGTCCTCAAATAAAATGCAAATTTTGTAATATCGGTAAAGTTTTCCCATGTCCACAGTATGAAGACAATTTACTTTTTATTTAAATTCCTTGTGCATTTGCCACCGGGCATTTATCACTTATCACAAACGCTCATTATTCATGATTATGCTTTGGCTTTTGTGCAAAATTGTGCAACTACCGCCGCAGTCCCGGCTCACATGGACTACTGGCTGTCTGGTCTGTCAGAGGTTCCCCATTATTGCAGAGCTCCCCTCTATATTGCCCAGTCCCAGTCGCAGTCTCGGTCTCAGAACCCAATCCCGTTCCCGTTTCCATTTCCATTTCCACAGAGCACAAAAAACTATACTTGTAACACACAGAAAAAAGAATGCCTATATTTTTTCGAATTTAATCCATTAACATATATGGGTATATCACATTTTAATATAACAATAAATATATGATCATCTGCTTTTAAAAAAATTTTGTCAAAATGCCTAATATTTTAAGGAGCAACTAAAACTTCTGCACAATTACCTTTATTTACCTTATCTAATTTCAATATTCTTAAACGGTCTTATCGTTTTGGTCATTTAATCACATGATAGATCAGTGCCCTTTTTGTAAACGTATTTTTTTCAGTGTAGTCCCCAGTCTGGAGACTGGCAGCAATTGCTGTGATTGTGCTGACGAGGTTCTGTGGCCGAGCTTTAGCATCAACCGACTGACTGCTGCACTATATAAATGTTGTCTTGCCTTGTTACAACTTTGTATTTTTGGCTTCTTTTCGAACCGCTTTTGTGTGTGCGAGTGCTTGTGTGGTTTTTAATGAGAGTCTCGTGCAGGTCTTTTCCATTGTTGGAAACCGACGTTGCCGGTCGACAATATTGTAATTGATATTATTGTGAAACGGAGGGTTTATTTATACTTTAAGTCCGCTTTTAATAAGCAACATTTAAGCTGCGGCTGCTGCATTTCGTATGCAAACAGAGCACTCCGTTTTTATCTTGATTAAAAGTCTTCATTTTATTGGAAGATACGTGTAAATCGGAAATACTTTTTTAATGAAAACTGAAACACTGAACATTGCTTGGTATTTACATCTTAAATAAGTAATAAAGTTTAATTACAGCTTTTAGAACTTTTGTATGATACAAAAAAGTATAAGCATTTCAAAACATTTTTGAGTAAATGACAAATGGTATTTCGAATGACAAATCTAAAAAAAATGTACACTTCTAGGTGATTACTGAAAATTTCTTAAATTGCTTTTCTGAGATTACTCATGCTTTAATTTTTTAATCTACTTGCATCACTCGCAATCTGTTTGAGGAACTGCATCGACAATTAAATTAAATGTCGAACATTTCCCAGTGCTCAACTGCCAGACTGAACTTTCAATCAAGTTGGGGGAACTGTTTAAAAAATTACCCACTTAAAGGTGAACTTAAACGACTTGTAATTGGCATCTTTGGGATAGTTTCCGGATACTCTTTTTACCATAAACACGAGCTTTCCTTGACTTCCTTTTTAATTACTTTTCCACGTAAAGCTTACCAACTCTGCTCGTCCCTTTTTGCACCTAACATTCTCGTTTGATTAAAAAATTCTTGGGAAACAATTTTCATAGTTTTAACCGGAGAAAAGCCGGCAAATCGGGCAAGGCACGCACACACTTGTTATTGGGGAAACGGAAATGGAAATGGCAAGGAAAAGGGAGTGGGGCTGGGCAAAACTCCAGCGGCATCGCATTGCCAAATTTGTGTATACGAAAACAGGAAGGTTGTGGATTTTAGTTTGTGGTAGTGATAGTGACAGTGATAGTAGTAGTACTACGACGACTACTACACAATACTACAGTGACCAAGAGTAACAAAAACAGCAGCAGCAGCAACAGCAGCAGGAACAGCAGCAACAATAAACAGTGCCGCAGAGTCCAGAGTGCAAACCAATTGAAATTAATTTGCATAATATAAATCTGGACATTCAGCAATAGAATGGAACCGAATCCACTTTTCCCCCACTTTCCCCTTGATGCACAAGCCGCTAATTCTGGGATTATTCACAGTTTATTGCACTTAGTTTTCTTGCACAAATGTTCTTTCTCCCCGTCAGTTTTTCCTCGTTCGGCCTTATATTTCCACACTCAATGGTTTATTTTCTCTGTTTTTCGTTTCACATTTTCATTTAGCATTTGCTAGTAATTGGATTGGATCGGGTTTTAGTGGCTTGTTTAATTTTTCATTGCAATTTTTAGTGGTTTCACTGGAATTTACTTTCCGCTCTACGCAACTCGCGCGTTGCTCTTTTGGCAAATGTTGCGTCTGTTGTGCCGGAAAATTGACGACAAATTGAGAGCTTTCGTTTTAGTTGCGTCGCTTTTTGGGCTCCTTGGTAATCAGCCAGGGTTGTCATGTATTTAACAACATTTTTAAATTGAGTTTTATTCAAAAATAGGGAAAATTAATAATAAGGCACAAAGATTAATAAAACTAATTTAAAATCAAATAACTTTTTATAACTATTTGTATACAACTGTTTATTTAGACAAATAGCTTTTATTTAACAACGCTAGCCAAGACCAATTGTTATGAATAACGAACATAAGCTTGAAGAATTAAAGTTTGAAAGTAAAGCTTATTCTTGCAGCTAAGACACGAACCCAGCAAGAAGTTTTCAAATATCACGTATACGAACTGTTAACACGTTTTCTTGACTGTTACGAATATGTTAATAATAAACAGTTTTTAAACGACCAAAATGGTAGAAGCTAATAACAATGAATTTTGATATAAGGTACTGTATGAAATTAAAATATTAATATTTTAAGTAAAAGCATTTAATTTTATTATTTTAATTTTAATTCTTTTTTTTTTTTTTTTTAATTCATAATTCAGAACTTAGCTAAACATTTTAAAAAAATTTAATTATTCTGCAATCTGCATCGTATATAATTAGAAAACTGTCAGCTTGGTTGCAATCTATGGAGAGTTGTATATCCTTGTAGATTTTTGTGACATCCCTTATTAAATATTTTTAGAACACGATAGCTGCATTTGTAAATAAATTTACATTTTGTGTCATTATTTTGACAAAAACTTCAATTCATTTTTTCCACTACTTATCCTTAATAACATATTAATCGAGCACACGCCATGTACACTGAACACACACAGGCAGTTCAACAAGACATTAACACATTGAACAGCACTTGGCTGGCAATTATTAACACATTAACAGGTCGCTACTTGGCTGATTTATTTGCACAATTCATAATTATTATATGCAGGCATCACCGGTAGGCGACACGTGATAAAAACAATATATAAAATTTGCGCCAACAATTCGTTTGTATTCCGTAAACATTAAAACAATGAATACGTAATGCGAAAAAAAATCGTTATCGCCGCCTATACAACAACAGTATTGAATGTCAAATTAATTTTCATGCCATTAAATGCAGCAAGTGCTACCGAAAGCAAATATAAACAAAACAAATATAGAACAATCAAAAGCAAAGACGTCCAATCAATGCGACCGATTCAAGGTTCCCCAAACAAACGAGAACGAACTCGAAAAATAGAGAAAAACAAGTGCAGAAATGAAAGCAAAATACGGACCGAAAAAACGTGCATAAATATGCCGCAGAGCTTAGGGAGCCACTGGCTTAAAGTCTTAGGACTCGTCTGAAGAGTGCACACATGGGCAACGAATAAATATGGCTGTACCATTTATCCAGACGAGAGTTTCCACTTCGGCTTCGTCCCTTTATTTGGCAACATGTATTTACATAGATTTACATTGAAAACACTTTAAATGCCTGGCAATCAACGCCCGACTGCGTAGAGATCCTGGGGCCCAGGATCTGGGCCCCAATTGTCGGCCGAAACATGGTTAAATGACATGAAAGACCGATGCCCCTTGGCCAAAAACAAAAGTGCAACGAGGTTGACCGTTCGCCACATACACACACACACTCATACACACAGTGAAGTAAACTTTGTGGTTTAAACTAAAGTGGCCTTTTTAGCATTCAACAAATACAAAAAAAATAAATAAAAGTGGCCAAGAAGGGGGCTTCGAAAAGTGTCCAAAAAGTTGAATGGAGAAAGAATTTTGTGCCCGCTCATCTGCATTCGGCCACAGCTCTATTTTTGGCCTCTTTGTTAATATTTCAACACAATTTCTGCATTGCATGGCAATGGCAATGGCTTTGGCCACCAGGAGCAGAATCCGGAGGACTTAGGTCTTCGTGTCGCTCTGCGGTAATTTATGCATGCTGTTTGCCTCCCCCTGACTGTTGGCATTTGTTGGTTATAAAATAAATAAAAGATGTCACAAAAATGCTTTGACATGCTCGTTACTCTCTCTCGTTATATACCCACATACAATATATACAAATTTACTTGATTTAAGAGCCGCTGCAGGGAGGTGTACACTACAACACACTCAGATAAATATTTACCTACTTTTCAAATTTTAAACAATTTTCCATATCCGCTTATGATACTATATAAAAGTTGGAATTTTTATAATGACTTCACAAGCTTAACAATAATCTTCGGATACGATTTATTGAGTCCCTTAAAACATATTAATTCATATATCTTATTATTATCTTTTACATATAATTGCTGAATTAAAGATAAGCTTTAAATATAAATGAATAACGTTTTAATTTTGCAATTGTTAAACCCAATTTAAGGTAAAACTATGCCTTTTTTGTAGCAGTACATTTGTGTTCCTTAGTGAAAACTACTCTACGCTTTGAGTGTCATCCTTTTTGGTATTAACTGAAATTATCACCAGTAGGCCCCATGTTCCAAGGCCGTTCGACAAGGGCTCACAGTTGGCTTTACTTTTGGGGTGGGCACTCACTCAGTGAGGGTCTTATCACTGAATTGGCAGTTAGACTTAATTGAATATTCAAATGGATGCTGAAAGAGCACATTGGACCCCATCAACCGCTATCCCAGATTCGCTTTAATTTAAAGCCAAACATTTTGCATTGGTTTCATTTAAATTTAACTTTTAAGCCCGTTAAAAACTACAAGAAAAAATTATTTTTTCAATGGATACTGGTGAAATTTTAATTAATGCGGTCACACTTTGTAGACTTGTCGTAATTAAATTATACATTGTGCATACGAAAAAAACCCGCTTAAGTATGGCAAATTTACATAAATAATTAACATAAAATGACCATGTATTGTGGGCTTTGTGCAATGAAAGTGTTCGGCTGAAAAAGTGCATTTTAATAGCGAAATCTATGATTAATTTTAAACGAACATTCCAAATTATGTGTTAAATTATGCAATACATTTGCCAATAGTTGAATTCAGCATTTTAAATTTAAGTTGTGTTCAGCTCTTTTGTTTTCACTTTTGTTTGATTTATGAATAAAATGTTTAGATGGCACAGTCATGCATGGACATTTTATTTATTTGCTTTGTCTTGATTTCCCTTTTTCCATGTCGCCAGTTCGTCCTTGCTGAGTGGCCTAATGAAAAGTGAGATTTACTTAAACAAATTCTAAGACACATTTCCCCAGGCGCTGGCCAAAATGGCAGAGGAGTCAGATGTCTTGGCTGCTCCCCAGTGGAGCTTGGGATTCTGTTGCAACCAAACATTTTACTTGCATTTCCACAGTTGTCCTTCACTTGCCTTGCAATTCAGTTTCTCATTTGTGTCCTTTTTTGTCCGGCTTTTGGCTTGTCCAAACTCTGAATAATGGAGGTGATGCTCGCTTGTGGAAAATGCTGTGATTTAAATATTTAAAAAGTGAGAGAAATAAAATGGTAGACAGCTTTTGTTTAAATGCTTTTTATGTGCAATATTGAGCCGGCAGCCAATCGAGTAATAAATCAATGCAAAATAATGCATGTGCATATCGAATATTTTGGCTTTGCTTTTGCGTAAGGTTTGGACTCGAAGTCCTGAACTGGGAGCAATATAAAAACAGCAATTCGTTATATTCCTCTAGAAATTGGTTTAAATGCAGCTTTGACGCGCATTTAATTTAAGCAGTTTTTCCCTCATGTTGCTATTACTTTGTCAGCGTTATGAGATATTAATTTAAATTTTAGATTAGAATTGACTAAGTGACACCCCTGAAGACGCTACTTTTACTTTATTTTATTATAACAAATTATTAAAATAAAAGTCTTATATTAATATTTTATTGCCAGTGAATTTAAATTTAATTCTTTGCTCAAGTATTTTTGTTCATGAGTGTGTGAATAATATATTTTAAAAGATTATAGATTATTCCTAATTTATAAAGGTATTTTATTATTACAAGACATTAGTTTTCACTAAAATCAAATGTTTTTTAAATACTTTTTCTTGTTCACTGCTTTCATTTGTAATTTTGGATACCAAAATATTTATTTATTTGAAGCAAATCCGCGAATAAAAAAATTGTTGCCGAGGGTATCTTTTGTCCAGACCGTGTTTTCGCATTGAGGCGGAACAAAGTGTTGGTTGCCAGGCTTCGCCTTAGTCTCCGGTGGTCGGCGACCGGAAATGGCATTAATGCCTAGCTCCAGCGCCCTTTGCGCCATTATAATTAAATGCACTGGCGACGTTCTTGACTCCGCCTGCGTCTGGCTTACAAAATAGTGCACCCTGCAAATAATTAGCATGGCTCGGAATCCTGTGAGTAATTAAGGTAAGTCAGCTGTTGCCCCCGTCTCGAGTGGTAAAAAAAACGAACGAACAAAAAGTGTCGTCCATTGTCAACGGAAATTAAAGTTTAATGGGACGTTTCGTTTCCTTTTTTTTTTAGCATTTTCAAGAGCTAAATGAGCTTGTCCGGCAGTTTTTGCTCGGACCAAATGTTCGTAGCATTTTTAAGCTATTAAACTAGAATTTTTCAAACTTGATGACACACAAGCTGGAGTAAAAAAACCATTGTAAAAACATTGCAAATTTAAAAATTTTCGGGAAAAAATGGAACCTGAGTTTTAGCACCAGTGGCATGTGGAAAGCAATTACAGAAGTGATTTAGAAATCTGTACATGTAAAAATGTTTAGAGAAGTTGCTGGCTGAAAGTGAAAGTTAAAACAACTCTGTGTGGCAAAACAATGCAGATGATACCAAAATGTAAACAGTTTGCTTTATTTGTTACTTTGGCAAATTTATATTATTTCACAGCTATTAATTAAATTGCAATTATCATATTGGTTTAAATAATCAATTGATAAGGCCTTTATTGTTTTACCTTTGCCTAGTTAATATTAAATTAATTTGTTTGTCGCTTTAATAGAATGTCCTTTTCACATTCCCGCACAATATAAGTATTTATTTTGCAAACAATTCATTGTTGTTCCATTAACTTTTGTTTGCTTATCTCTCTGGCCACTTCAATGGCACAAAGAACTTTATCTGGCTAACTGCTTTTGCTCTCTAGATTACGTTCGCTTATGGGTTGTAAATAATTAGTTGAGTGTTATTATCACGGAATGTTAAAACCGCTGTCTAGTCAGCAATGAAAAACACACGCATTTAAAGTTTTATTTCTTTATTTTGAACTTATTTTAAAGCATGGGTTTTTGGTTCTTAGCACGTAATCAGTAAAGTCGTTTCCTTTTTAGTTAAGCTTTCAATTTGTTTGCACAACACAGTTCGATTGCCACCGTTAAAAAAATACCACGGCATTTTTAAGTGATAACGCCGAAAGTTAGTCACGGAATTTCGTATTTCACCGCACTTTTATGGACTGCACCTCCAGCCAAATCATCACAGCGGCTATGGCCACATAAATGGCTACGATCATGAAAATCTGCAGAGGACTGGCGGTAAAAACTTGGACCACCAGCATTACGGTGCCCAGGATGAAGACTCCGGATAGGAACATTATCATCAGAATGGTGGACCAGTTGCGAAACCAGGCGTTTTTTCTATCCGGCGGGGGTACGTAGATCGGTTTCAGTGGGCTGTACTCCTTTCGGTACTGCGTTTCGTAGCCACTGGTGAAGTCGACCTCATCCTGGAACGTTCCTGGGCCCGAGGTGCCCGCCATTGGCTTATCCGTGTCCATCTCGATACGCGTTCTCCACTCGACTAAAGAGCGACTCACTGGTCTCCGGGTATTTTCACCGATTTCTTCTTTCCCTTTTCCTCTTGATTACCAATCAGTTGGGGGCTGCGTTATTATCGCCACGGCAAAAAGGTGTTAATTGAGGCAACAACAAGGCAAACAGAGAACCGTCAAGAGCCCACAATCTTTTCGTGTCGTTTGTGACTCAGATAAGATATCTATATAAGTCTGAGGAAACCCGTCCAAAAAGAGAGAAGAAGAGACCCGGAGTGACAAGAAAATCACTTTGAAGTAAGACATTGCGAAGAGAGATCCACTCCAAAGATATTAATTGCTTATCAGTTTATCAGTTTTTGAAAGACATATTTCCTTAAATATTTTACTTCTGATAAGGAATCATTAGAGGAAGGGTAATGTTTAAAGACTGGGACTAAAGTGTCACTCTATATAAGTCTTTTTAAAAAGTTTCTTTAGTTTTTGTGTCTTTTTATGCTCTCTTTGGGCTCTCTTAAATTTTTGCTCTCTTTAACGTTAGTTTAACGCTCTGACAATTTTGGTTTATTATTTCCGAATACCCTTGTGCAGGGTTATTTGCTTTCAATGAAATATTTCTTATGAGCTCAATAATGTAAGCAAATAATTATTGAAAATATTATTAACACTCATATTGGTGCCTATAAAATATTTTAGTTTACTGAATCAACCTTTTGTATTTTTATTTTGAGGCTACATTCTTATTATGTATATTGACTTCACACGAATGAACCCTTTAAATAGTTTTAAAAAGTTTTGTAGTATTAAAATTTATGTAATTTATCTTTACTCAGGTTAGTCTGCATTAAAATATTTAAATATACTTACTGGTTTAGGTCTTTAAAATAATAAAATTAAAAATGTTTTCTACAAACAATATAAAAACCCAGTAATTTTTTTAATAATGTGCAATTTGCTTAGAAGTGGTTGCTCAATGCAGCTTTGTCTTCGGTTTCTTGGAATTATTTTGCTTGTATTAGAGTCTCGGGAGAAACGTGCTCTTTCTTAATTCTCAGTTTACCCAGAGCCTTGAAGCTAAGAAGATCAAAGTGTATTCAGAAAAAAAAGAATGAGGTAGTTAAAATCTTAAAAAAATTGTAAAGAAATTAATTGTGTTAATTTTTGTATTTTTCAAGTGATGACAAAAATGTTTTGTTGGAGGAAGCCTGTTACAGGATCACTGTTACCGACCAAGAAAATGATTATGAACAACCTCAAGCCTTTAATAACGACACCAATCTAGAAATAATTTCTGAAGATGAATCACATCCATATAAATTTCTGCAAAATTGCAGTTCTGCTGCATTGTGGATTTGCGTTCTTTATAACTTCTCCATGATTTCGTTAATAGTATTAGTATGCATTTACAAACGCTTGAATTAGAAATGGGAACAAGAAAAATATTTTTAAAAAGTGTAACAATAAAAAAAATACTTAAGATAATATTATTGCAGATTATATGTAACTGGCCTAACTCTGCTGACATCAAAAGAAATAAGGAGCCGCTTACTGTCCTAAATGTACTTAAACTTTGCTCCATTTTGTTGCCGCCAAACAATTCAAGTTGTTGACAAAGTCATCAGCATGCAGCAGGCGGCGGCTTTGAAAGAAATTGCAGCACCAGCAAAAAAAATTTCAACGAAGTTGCATCTGTTGCATTTTTAGTTTCTTGCTTGCTCGCGGACAAAAGTTTTATTTGTTGCGCCATCAACTTTAGACTTTTTGTGTTGACAATTAGGCAATGATTCGGCGTCAATCTGCATGGCTTACTGTTTAATTTGATATCGTTAAGATGAAAAAAAAATGCTTGATCAGACAATGAAAGCAAATTACGTAATTTTAAAGTCATGTATAGATACAAATAAAGAAGTTTTAAACATTTTAAACATCATTAAAAATGAAAGAGGAGACTTTTTAATACGTTGAAATAATAAAATACCTTTACCTATAGATAAGAACATTGTAACATTTTTCTTCGAATAAATTAACCAACTGCTAAGTCTATTTAATGAAAAGACTTAAATAAAAACAATAGGTGTTTCTTCTGTGAACTTTTAAATCTGATTGAAGAAAGCTGTCGTATAAATTTAAGTCTCGCACGATTGTGGCCCAGTTCTGTGCACCTTGGCCAAGACTCATTATTCAAACCTAAGACGGAGATTAAAGTGAACGCGATAGAAGGAAGCGCTGGCGGAGTGCGAAATGCAAAGAAAGAATCAAAATTCATGAGGCGATGTGCGCGAATTATAGCGACTTACTTGATGGTTTAAAGGCGCTCTTACCACGGCTACTCAGTCCTCCGGTTTTTGCTTCGCCAACATGCGTTTGTTGTTGCAAACTTTTTCCATCAAAAGTTTCGGTTTTCGATACGCCTGCTGGCGGCAGCTCCCTATTCCGATCCCGCCCAGCTTCAGCTGGGGAAAAGTGCCACTTCCGCTTTGCGTCAGTGCACACGGCTGCCGAGCACAAAAGTGTGACTGAAGTGGCTGCCACCCGCTTTTCCCATTTATACCTTTAGCTTTACCACCCACTTTGGCGGCCGCTGCCGAGGCTCAGGTGTTAATTATCTGGGGGTCGGTACTAAATTTTAAAACTGCAACTTGCCCAAAATTAATGAGACTGACGTTCGTACGAATTCCGCGGGCGGCGGAATTTTTATTTTGGCTTGTCGAACAAACTGCAGGAAGGCGAACTTTGAAGTGGTCAAAAAGGCTGGCCTGCAGATCATGAATAATCATCTCTGGCTGGTAGCCGAGTCAAGTAATAAACCATCAAATATTAAATTATATATCAAATTATATCAAAGCTTGAAGTATTGCATTATCTTTCTACTAGTGCTTAAAATGGGTTTTAAAATGTTTATCAAATTCTTATTGCCAGCAAAATGATAATTAAAAGTAATTGGGTGTAACAAGTTGTGTTCATGCTTATTTAATCATTTAATTGAAAAACTTGAAAATATTTAGGCCGTTATCAATTAAGTTAAAGATATCATATTGACAAATGTTCTATTATAACTGCCTGATTGGCTCTCATGTTTGACTGGGTGTAAGATAAACTCAACCCCTAGCTAATTAAGTTAGTGTTTCAAATTCATTTGCCTTTGCCGTCTGTATGCCATCGATCTTTGCACTCGGAGTGTGTCGACAGGGAATGTTGGCCAACAACTCCGAGGACGAGGGCGAGTATGAATACGAGTATTTGATGGCAAACGGCAGAGGGCGAGTGAACTGTTGAGCTCAGTGCATGACACTTAATCAATTGGGCCAAGTGTCTGTTGTGACATATTCAACTAATGATGACGGATCAAGATGCGGGCTACTAAGTCACTCACACATGGCCGGCTTCTAACTGGGAGGGCGAACGACGAAGGACGAAGGACCGGAGTCCTGGTCTTGTCCTTGTGCAACACCGTAACTAATTTCCCTGCCGGTCACTTGTTGTCTTCTCGCCAAGGACATTAAGTTCAGCTGCCAGGACAACTTGTCACGGACACCAGGACATCTCTGCTCAGTTAACATGCCATGCCGGTGTCCCCATTATTTATTAATTGCATTTAATGCTGTTGCAAATCGAGCACAATTCTGCAAAGCGTTTGCCCGGGGTCACTGGTTTGACTGTTACTTAATTTACTCTATTGCTTCTGTTTTTTTAAATCACAAATTGGGCTAAATTGAATTTGTCCGGATCGTTTTATCTCATAAATTAGGGAAAATAATTTCCACATAATTTTTAATAAGCCACATAAATAATTCGGTGGTCAAAGTGTCGTTTGCATTGTTTTTTCCAATGACAAAATTGCAAAATGTAAAACATGCGTAGATATATGCAAATAAATCAACCACTATACAAAATTATAAGTATAAATTAGTAAAACGATATTTTTTAGTCGAATTTGTGCATTTAGCTTGTTGATTGTTTTTACCAGCAGCCGCAGGGTAACAATATAATTTAGTCTAATGCGATTTTACATTTATTAAATCACTCTCATTTAAATAGTCTGTGTACTTAGACAAGAGCTTAATAAATAAATGTCACATTAGGTAAAATGTCAATAATTTTTTTTTAATTGATTATCATATAAAAACTGTAACATAAAATTGAAATATGAATACATTTATCAACAAACACTCATTAAATTAATTGTTTATATTGACAGGAGTTTGATAAACAAATGTGGTTTCAAGGAAAAGTAAAATTAACTTTTATTTCTGTAGGCACATAAATAATATACACATTTCAGGGACTCTGAAATTGATTCTTTTTGTGGTAAATAATTTCAAATAGTCTACTGATTGCATAGATATTATTACTGGTCTAATTGCAGTCGTACATACGTCCTTATTTAATTGCAAATTTCATTTGCCCTTCGCAGCATCCACAATCCATTTACTCTCTAATGCTCATTATATGCAATTAACTTTCCACACATTATTGGTTGGTTTTTTCGTAAAAAATAGCACAATGGAAAAACTTAAAATTTCGCACGTTTTTTTTTTGTAATTTAAGTGGTGACAAATTGAGCATGAAGCTGGAAATGAATTTAAAGCTATTTTGACAGTTAATGTTTTCTCTTTGGATTGTTAGTTTATTAAATTAAGCAGGCATTAAGCGTGCCTGTGTCGGGTATTTGGGTCATCGGTGCAAAAAGCAGTGAAAGGGTTGGAATTTAATTAAATGCGCGCATAAATTATACAACATAATGGCAAATGCACTCGCACACTTGCATATGCAATCGCTGCCTTGGGCGACATACGCGTACGCACTCTGGCACTCGCATAATTATTTCCAAATATTAAATTCAGCCCCGAAAGTATGCAGCCAGAAGGGCCCGTCGCCGCTGTTGTTTCCATTCGTCCCTTCCTACGACATTATTAATGCAATTTTGCCTGGGAGATGGACCGCTCCTCAACCCCATCACAATTATAATCCAACGTAACGTTATTGCGCCAGAGAAAAGCGGTTTTATTCCTGTTAACGACTTTGGTCTGGTGAGAAAAATAAACTGGGAAAGGGAGAATATGTGTTTTCGAAACCCAGACAATCTTAAAAAAATATTGAATATATAAAGCAAGTTATACGTATTTAATGAGCATATCTATTTTAAAACTTAAATAAATAATTAACATGATGTTTCACACAAGAATGTGAGCATCTTAAGATCCTTAATATAAAGTTAATTTAAAATTTATTTTGTGGAAAAAACTAAGTAAATTATAGCTTTTATGTTACGTTAAAGTGCCAAAAATAAAATAGCTAAATAAAATTTTTCTAGCAATTTGGCAACTTAAATTGGATTTTAGATCCTTAAATGATTTATCCGATTACATTTTTGTCAAAAAAACAAAAAGACAAGCAAAAATAATTAATTAATTTCTTCAAATTATCAGGACTAAAATAATGCATATCTGACTGTCAACAGCAGAGGCAACCGCGTCGTTTGTTTGGCTGTCTGTGTGGCAATTGGGCGACTGGATGAGTTGGTATTGGTAATGGGCGTGTCACGGTTTCAGTTTACATGCGTGTACTTCACACACATATCCATAATTCGCACAAGAGCAACAATATTGCCATTCTGGTTGACTGGCTGTTATTAGTGTTGTTGCCGCTGCCACTTTCCGTTTCTCGTTTGTTACAAAACAGTTTGTACATTGTTGTCATTAAGGACAATCGCTGTTGTTGCCGCTCATCTGGGGGTAATAATGGCACTGTTTATGTTGTTCCTCGCCTGGCATTAATATCACAGGAATTTCAATATTTAGTCAACCACTTCATAATGTGCGGCCTGCTAATGATTATTAATTATTGTTGAATGTTTGCCATCAATTCGGCGCAGCTTATCCCCGGTGCGGTTTTGTTATAAGTTGGTAAGCCACACACTAGGTGGTAATTACGGGTATACAAAGCTGTGATGCAGGTCAAGTTAGGTAACTCACAAAAATGTGCTTTAAGCTGAGATTTGTTGTTATTCAACACCTGCCGGAATTACCAAAGCTAACCTTTATAACGGGTTAATTCAGTATCGCACGTTTTCAGCACATTATGCACTCCATTACCAGATTATCGATAAGATGTGGTGCGTTCATTTGTTACGTGGCCCAATCCCATTGCTCACTAATTACGAGCATGGTCAACAATTAAAAGTCATTTATTATCTTGGTCGCGTCCTTGGCAATAACAATGAGTTATGGCCACTAATTAAATCAGCAAATTACAAGCACGCACATTACATGAATTGTAAATTGCAAATAATTCTCACGAGGGGGTAAATATCTGATTCACCAGGTGAATCTCTAAAATGTGAATAAATAATCAAATAAATTTGTGAGAATTGTCGAAACTCATTTTAGTTGGTTTATATAAACTGTTTTATTTTCATTGTCAATTTTGCCTGTCTGTTTGTCAAGAAATGCTATATCCCTTTCATATGTGATCCGTGTGTC